TTGCATATAAGAAGATTCTCCCCCCACCCCCGTGGTATCTCTTCCCCAATCAATCCAAGGAGATATATCTCTGGTTTTTTTATTATTGATATTTTCAACATCTTTAATTCTTCATGACACGTTTGAGATCCTTCATTGGTATCCCTGCACCCAAGCCCTCCTTTGGGCCTGAGGTTCAGAACAGGGCTGTAGTTCAGGGGCAGAGCATCTGATTTGAATGCAAGAGGCCCCAGATTCATCTCCAGGTGGGGCTGAGAGTGCCCCCCTTCTGAAACCCTAGAGAGCTGCTGCCAGATAGTGCAGGCAGTACTGAGATAGATGGACCAATGGCACAAGAGAGAGGAAGATGATGACAATTGTGCAAGCGGAAATCTACTGAACGCTTTGGCTGAAAACTCACTTCTGTTTCTAGCCCCACCCAACGTTGACATGTGGCCCTCAGAGAGTTGGCCAGAAGGGAATTCGGCCCTCAGGCTGAGAAAAATCCCCCCCACCCCTGCCCTAGAAACCTGGGAACCAGCAACAGAATAACAAACGAGATATCCAGCAATTTGCTGCCCTATTTAACAGCATCCCAAAATCAGCCACCTGAGGCAGCTGCCTCACGCCGCTGAATCACAGGCTGGCCCTGCGACCGCATCCACGTCCCTAACCAGTCATTACGCTCTGGGTATTTTTGTCCAGCTGCCCTTTCCCTTCAAATAGCGGTTCTGCATTAAATTACGTTGGCGATGTGTTTGTTTGTTTGTTCCCCACCCCCCTCAAAGGCCGCCCATGGCATCCTTTAAAGAGGCGGTCAAAAAAGGAGGGCAGGTACACAACACATACCCACATGCACCGACACACAATTGTACACTGACAGTTTTCCAGTGTGGTAAATATATATGATCCACTTTGGGGGTCATACAACTGCCCTCTCTACACACAGAGCACACAAAATAGATCTTTATTCATGCTCTCTCTCTCTCTCTCACACACACACACCCCCCTCTCCAAAGTAGGCCATCCCTCCAGAGGGTGAACAAATTCCCGTTATGGGTTTTTTAGGTCACTTTGTTTGTGCTTGCCTGCTTTCTATTTATAGAGGGAGAAGGAAGAAGTGTCCTGGGGGGAGAAGAGAAATGGGGTGGGGGGGAAGGTTGTAAGGGGGTTAGATGAATGAGTGAGTGGGTTACAAAAGGCACATGGAGAGGTTTGTTGGGATTCAGATGCCCGGTCTCGGCCCCCACACAACCTGGGCAGGTCATTTTCTCCCTCGGCATCAGTTACCGGCCTTTAAAACCGAGAGCATCCCTCTCCCAGGCAGGCTGGTTGTGATGGCGAGGATAAACCGGCTTGTAAGATTCCGAAAATTTCGTAAAGGTTAAATGGGGCATAACAGCTCAATGGCTGCTGATGTTTCAGGGCCAGCAAAGGACGAGGCCTTTTTTATTAACCTCACATTCCCTTCAGGACCGAAACCATTAGCAAACAAAGCCACCCGTTCTTCCCCCCTGTTTCTGAATATCTCATCTGTCAATCCGTAATGAGCAATAATAGTACAAGGGGCAAGATCCAGGAAATGTTAAGCTCTTCTAAGCCGTATTGATTCCAATTAGAGCGGTGGGCACGTGCCAGAGCGTCTTGCCGTCCAATCGATGGGCTGAAGTGCTTAACTTTGGTGGAATTAAGCCCTTTGTATTGGCCTAGGCCTCATCCTAAAACGTTCAGCGGGGCTTACAACAGCGGTGCGAGGTAGGCTAATATCATTCCTATGTCTCTGGAGGCGAGGCGGAGAGATCGTTTTGCTTAAAGCCCCCCAGCGTACAATCTTGGAATTCAGAAGTAAGTCCCTTTGAGCTCAGTGGGAGAGTTTAACATTAAGTGCGTATAAGATGGCAGGCCTGGTGAGTCAGTGGCCAAGAGGTGACGTCTGAATTGGGGACTCCCAAGCATGCAATTCTTTGTCTCAGCTGCTATAATGCACTGGTCTCAGAAAAATGGGTGTGCACAGATCCTCCAATGTCAGTCCCAGATTTACAGAAGCCACCCTGGTTTCTTTTTTGATCCTGGAATGTCCCGCTTTTCCCTGTTTTCATCGGAGAAACGTTGGAGAGTATGCAACTCTCGAGCCAAGGAGATAAGAAACTATACAACCTTTAGAAGACTTCTGAAGGCAGCCCTGTATAGTTTTATTATGCTTTTATATACGTTGGAATCCACCTAGAGTGGCTGGGGCAACTCAATCAGATGGGCAGGGTAATAATAATGATGATGATGATGGAATAGCAACTATTTTCATCAGAGAAATGTTGGAGGGTTTGGTGTGCTAATAATAATAATAATAATAATAATAATAATAATATGCTTTATTTATACCCCGCCGATCTGGCTGGGCTTCCCCAGCCACTCTGGGTGGCTTCCAACAAAATATTAAAATACAGTAATGCATCAAACATTAAAAGCTTCCCTAAACAGGGCTGCATTCAGATGTCTTCTAAAAGTCTGGTAGTTGTTTATTTCCTTGACATCTGGTAGGAGGGCGTTCCACAGGGCGGGTGCCACTACCGAGAAGGCCCTCTGCCTGGTTCCCTGTAACTTGGCTTCTCACAATGAGGGAACCGCCAGAAGGCCCTCGGCAGTGGACCTCAGTGTCCGGGCAGAACAATGGGGGTGGAGACGCTCCTTCAGATATACTGGACCAAGGCCGTTTAGGGCTTTAAAGGTCAGCACCAACACGTTGAATTGTGCTTAGAAACATACTGGGAGCCGATGTTTCAAGACCGGTGTTATGTGGTCCTGGCGGCCGCTCCCAGTCACCAGCCTAGCTGCCGCATTCTGGATTAGTTGTAGTTTCCGGGTCACCTTCAAAGGTAGCCCCACATAGAGCGCATACATATACGCATGCAAACAGGAAAGAGCAGAGTGTGTATGTGCGTGGAGAAAGGAAGGCTATACAAGGCCATGAGGTAAACTGGGGCTAGGAATCCTTTGCAACCCGAGGGCCAGGTTTCTGAGGGCCACATGCCAGCGGTGGGCAGGGCCAGAGGCAAAAATGGGTGGAGCAGTAAGCTTCCCTTCCTACAGGAATGTAGTTTCTACACACCGCACACTTAGACACACATGTTCTTCTCTGTCCTTCCACCCAGACAAGCAAGAGCCATGGTCAGAGTTCAAGGACCTATTCCAGCTAGGTAAAAACCCTCAAGGAAGGTGCAAGGCAGGGCTAGCGGGGTGTGGGTTTGTCCTCAGGAAATCTCCAAGCAGCTGATGGAGAGCCCTGGAGGACCACATTCGGCTCCAAAGCCTAAGGTTCCCCACACCCAAATTTCCTACACTTTGTTGTGTAAGTGTGGGAGAGCAACAGGTCACGTGGGTGTCCATAAAACCACCTGCGTGATCCTGGCATGTCGTCCTAGAATGATGTGCATGTTCAAACGGGCTGACATCCTTTGTAAGTATGTTAAATTGCCTCGTTAGTTCCCGTAAGGGTATTTTAGTTCTGGTGGGGCATAAAGCAGAAGGGATTCCTTAAGGAGCCCCTTTGGAGTGGCAGCAATGAGTGTGTCTCTGTGGAAGTTTCAGCTTCTGCCTGCTGCGTGTGTGCACCTGCAAGTTCAGGAACAGTTGTGGAAAATACTTGTGCGTGTCCATGCCCATGTGTTTGTGTATGGTGTCGTGGGCTGCCTAAGTGCGACATGCATAAAATACATTTGTATACTAGGATGTAGTGTGTTGGATATCTGTTGTGCTCTGTGTGCATTGATTATGTGTTAGTACTGATGGGTGTGTGTATGTGTGTGGGGGCACCATCCATATAAAGCACATCCATCACACATTTTAAGCATGCCTTCTCCCAGAGAATTCTGGGACCTGTAATTTGTTAAGGATGCTGAGCAAGCACTGAATGAGCTTTAAATGTACGGCGTTTGTGGTATATGGCAGGGATGGGGAACATTTTTCACTCCAGGAGCCGCTCTCCCTTCTGGGTAACTTTCTGGGGCCCACATTCCTATAGCGGACAAGGCCAGAGACAGACACGGGTGAGGAAGGAATGCAAATTTTACCTTTGTACAGTGGGCTAATTTCTATCTAGGCCAGAACTTGGGGACACACTTTTTAGATATGCATTATTTCGCGACACAGTAATTCAGTTTTACTAGCAAACTGGTGGTTAAACTAAACTCCTTTCCAGCTAGGAGCGTTCACACGACACAACTGCAGCCGATACACCAACGTGTCGCGACACACAGTTTGGAAAGCTCTGATTTAGGCAAACAAAAGCCATTATCAGAAATCAAGAGCACCTTCCAGACAAAGCACTCCTGGATACTGTGAAGTAGGGCAAGTGAGGGATGTGGCCTGAGGAGAGGTGTGTGGCCTATGGAGAGTTCTGAGGGCCAAGTAGAGAGGCGTGGAGGGCCGCATTCAGCCCCAGGTTCCATACATACCCCAGGTATCAGATCATTTGTGACAGGTTAAAAGAACATGCAAAAGCTGTGTCAGAGAATTTGTATTTTGGAGGTTGTGGTCTGGCTTCCTTTGCAAATGATGGGGAAATGCAAAGGCCAGAGGGAGCTATGTTTACATGATAGTGGTGCACGGAGTGTGTGTGTGTGTGTGTGTGTGTGTAATATTGGCAAGTAAGGTGCTGGAGGAGACTCTTGAGAGTCCCATGGACTGCAAGAAGATCAAACCTCTCCATTCTGAAGGAAATCAGCCCTGAGTGCTCACTGGAAGGACAGATCCTGAAGCTGAGGCTCCAATACTTTGGCCACCTCATGAGAAGAGAAGACTCCTGGAAAAGACCCTGATGTTGGGAAAGATGGAGGGCACAAGGAGAAGGGGACAACAGAGGACGAGATGGTTGGACAGTGTTCTTGAAGCTACCAGCATGAGTTTGACCAAACTGCGGGAGGCAGTGGAAGACAGGAGTGCCTGGCGTGCTCTGGTCCATGGGGTCACAAAGAGTTGGACACGACTAAACAACAACAACAAAGGAAGAATCTTGAGAGAATTGAGTTCTGACAGCTCATCTGGTAGAGCGTGAGACCCTTAAACTCAGGGTTGTGGGTTCAAGTCCCACGTTGGGCAAAAAGATTCCTGCATTGCAGGGGGTTGGACTAGATGACCCTTGTGGTCCCTTCCAAATCTACAGTTCTGTGGTTCTATCTGATTGACCAAAGGTTCATACCACATCCCTTCCTTTTCTTAGATGCAAGCAGAGTCACAATGAAGGAAAGTGCTTTAGATATTCTTATGAATTCTGGATGCACTTTGAGCCACTCCTTAAATGCTCAAGCCATTCCTTCTATATCAAGGGAAAGCCCTTCTTTAGATGTCGCCCATTCACCATGTTGGATTGGGTTGGTGGCAGCCCGAGTCCAGTATCTGGAGGGCACCCCAGTGGCCACCCTTGTTCTGCCTGTGGATGAACAAGGTACACAAACACAGGGACCTACAGAGACCTCTACACCCCCTGCCCCAAAGGCAGAATCCTAACCAAACAGACCTACCCTCACACCATTACTAACACAGAGACGTTGTGCGGCTCACACCTCAAACCCCGTTGTGTACCCCCACACTTAAAAAAAACCAAACGATATATAAATACAGTCTTCTCTCCACTGCGAAAATTCAGATGCACATTCCTCACAGCAATATTTGCTGTGGCAGTATAAACAGAAGCGGCTCCGCTTGTCAAGTCATGTCACATCAGTGGCATAATCCCTCTGCTCTCTGTACCTGCCGGATCCCATCTCCCATTTCACACCCTGCATGATACACACACACACACACACCAAACACCCAGACACATAACAGATGACATCACAAAGTGATGCGCACACAGTTACCCCCGGCACAGCGCTCCTGCTAAACAGTCTCACACCTCGCACATGGAATCTTGCCTCCCTCACCCATTGCACACGCTACCTGTGCCGGTGACCTCCGTGGAAACATCTGATCAATGCACAAGCTCACCCAACTCTCCAGCACATCAGATATCCTCCTTTCTGTGCATGTTTGAGGGAGAAAAGAACCCAAATAATTGCAAGCGCATTATACACACACACAAACGCACACACACACACGGTTGAGGCTAACTCTCTTTTTCTCAGAAATTAACGGGCCTTTGTTAGCTATATTTATTCATTTCAATGGGGTTCCTCTTAGCAGGACTAGCACTGATGCAATCTACAGGCCCCGGCTGGTTGCACAACCTGGCCTTTGGAAAGGCCATATACACAGATACCTTCAGCTTCTGCACCCCTCCTTTGCACACCTGTCAACACAACCACACAGGCATTTTCCACAACAGCTCCGCTGCACAAATCCCAGCAACCGAGTGATAGGCAGGCACGGTTGCGAGAGGCTTCTGCAGGCAGGCACCCGCGCAAGAACTGCGCTCCGCTCCTCACAGCGGACCCATGCTCCCTCGCCCTCTCAAATTTCTCCTCTGCAAGCTGCATTCGTGGGTAGAACATCGCACCGGAATATTTCCATTCTGCACAACGCGCAGCGTTTGCACGACCCCCTCCTGACAGCACCACACACGGAGGGATAATTCCCACACACAGCTTGATGGGCACATGTGCAAAAAAAAACCTCCAATATGTATCTATCTGATCTGCATCAGAGGGAATGGCACATGCTATATATATATAAAAACAGTCTTCATGTGCCATTCCCTCTGATGCAGATCTGATCTCTCCCCCCCTCCCTAACCCCACCAAACGCCCACCTTGCGCCCAGCAACCCAGGCGGGCCCGATCCCCGCCTGATCGTTCCCCACCAGCAGCATCCTTTATTAAGAGACCCTTCCTTCACCTGTTTTCTCCGAAGACATCTCTGCCGCTGCTCTCGACGTGGCTGCCACTGTGTGTCTGTGTGTCTGTTGTGGAGGCGGGTTGGGGAGGGTTAGAGACCCACCGTAGGAGGGAAAGAAAGCTCTCTGCGTCACCCCCCACCAAGAAAAGCCTCCCTCGCCGTCTCCTCCTGTCTCTGCCTTGCTTTGCCTCCCTCCCTCTCTCCCTCTCCCTCCTTCCCCGGACGAGCCACGCGGCTCTTGCTGTCCCTGCGAAGATGATGGGGGGCGATGGAGCGAGAAAGAGGCGCGCGCGGGTGGGGTGTATTGGGGGGGGGGGAGTTAAAGGGCCAGGCGGCTTCACGGGCAACCCACGGAGCCCACCTCTCGGCTGTTTTTCTCCTGCGGTGTGGGATAGCTCGCTTTCAGACCCAGGAGGACTTTTAAGGGTCTCTGACATACATATATATACAGGAAGCTGCGTTGTAGTTTTTGGTCCCATCCAGCTCCATATTGTCGGCTCAGACTGGCAGCAGCGGGAGTTGCCAGGGATCGAACTTGGGATTTTCGGCATGCAACGCAGATGCTCTACCTATCATTGTAGAGATGGAAAGGATCCCCCAAAGGTCATCTAGTCCAGCCCCCTGCAAAGGCAGGAATCTCAAGTAAAGCATCCATGGCAGATGGGCCATCCAACCGAAAACCTCCAAGGAAGGAGAGCCCACAAACCCCCAAGGGAGTCTGTCCCACTGTCAGAAAGTTCTTTCTCGTGCTTAGTTAGAATCTCCTTTCTTGTAACTTGAAGCCCTTGGTTCGAGTCCTGCATTCCAGAGCAGGAGAAAAACGAGCTTGCTCCATCTTCCATGTAACAGCGCTTGAGATATTTGAAGGTGACTATCCTATATCCTAAGGGACGTGGGTGGCGCTGTGGGTTAAACCACAGAGCCTAGGACGTGCCGATCAGAAGGTCGGCGGTTCGAATCCCCGCGACGGGCTGAGCTCCCGTTGCTCGGTCCCTGCTCCTGCCAACCTAGCAGTTCAAAAACACGACAAAGTGCAAGTAGATGAATAGGTACCGCTCCGGCAGGAAGGTAAACGGCGTTTCCGTGCGCTGCTCTGGTTCGCCAGAAGCGGCTTAGTCCTGCTGGCCACATGACCCGGAAGCTGTACTCCGGCTCCCTCGGCCAATAAAGCGAGATGAGCGCCGCAACCCCAGTGTCGTCCGCGACTAGACCTAATGGTCAGGGGTCCCTTTACCTTTACCTTATCCTATATCCTCCCAGTCTTCTCTTTTCCAGGCTGAGCATATCCAGCTCCTGCAGTCGTTCCTCATCAGGCTTGGTTTCCAGACCCTTGATCATCTTGGTTGCCCTCCTCTGCACATGTTCCAGCTTGTCAACATCCTTCCTAAATTGTGGTGCCCAGAACTGGACATAGTACTACAGGTGTGGTCTTACCGAGACAGAACAAAGCAGTACTGTGACTTCCCTTGGTCTGCACACTATGCAGTCTAGAATGGCATTCACTTTTTTTGCTGCTGCATCACACCTTGGACTCGTGTTAAGTAAGACCCCTTACTTAACCCCTACTGAGCTCTGGGCCTTCCACAAGCCTGTAGACCCTGGCAGTGGTTGCCTTTCCAGTCAGGCTTGTTGCCTGATTCTGGAACTTTGCACTTTTCTGCCATACAGTGGTACCTATATGGGTTAAGACCTTAATTCGTTCTGGAGATCTATTCTTAACCTAAAACTGTTCTTAACCTGAAGCACCACTTTAGCTAATGGGGCCTCCCGCTGCCGCCGTGCCGCCGGAGCATGATTTCTGTTCTCATCCTGAAGCAAAGTTCTTAACCCGAGGTACTATTTCTGGTTAGCGGAGTCTGTAACCTGAAGCGTATGTAACCCGAGGTACCACTGTATATGCCACTGAGCCTTTCCAGTGTGGTGTAGTGGTAAAGAGCGGTAGACTCATAATCTGGTGAACCGGGTTCGCGTCTCCGCTCCTCCACATGCAGCTGCTGGGTGACCTTGGGCCAGTCACACTTCTCTGAAGTCTCTCAGCCCCACTCACCTCACAGAGTGTTTGTTGTGGGGGAGGAAGGGAAAGGAGAATTTTAGCTGCTTTGAGACTCCTTAGGGTAGTGATAAAGCGGGATATCAAATCCCAACTCCTCCTCCTCTTCTTCTTCTTCTTCTTCTTCTTCTTCTTCTTCTTCTTCTTCTTCCTGTCCCACAGCACACAAAGGGTGTGTTCTAGACCATGGGTAGGCAAACTAAGGCCTGGGGGCCGGATCCGGCCCAATTGCCTTCTGGTTTGTTTTGCTCTTGTTTTTATTATGTATTTTGTGTTTTTATATTGTGTTTTTACGCTGCGAACTGCCCTCAGATCTTTGGATGAAGGGTGGTATACAAATTATTTGATGATGATAATGATGGTGATGATGATGATAGGTGTATAGTGGTACCTCTGGATGCGAACGGGATCCGTTCCAGAGCCCCATTTGCATCCTGAAGCAAATGGAACCCACATCTGCGCGGGTCGCGATTTGCTGCTTCTGCGCATGACGTCATTTTGAGCATCTGCGTGAGCGGCGAAACCCGGAAGTAACGCGTTCCATTACTTCCGGGTCGCTGTGGAGAGCAACCTGAAAATGCTCAACCTGAAGCAACTTTAACCCGAGGTATGACTGTAGATTTGCCTCTCGCACCTGCTTGCCATTGGGGTCTGGTTGGCCATTGCCAGAAGAGGATGCTGGAGTTAAATAAAGAGGGAGCTTAAGATGGAAGAAGATAAAGTCCCTACCAGAGAAGAATGGCAAGACAAGTTGATGGATTTTGCCGAAATGACTAAAATGACCGGAAGAATCAGAAATGAGAAAGACAAAATTTTTAATAAGGAATGGGGAAAATTTATAACTTATTTTATTGTAAACAGTTATAATCGTTTGTAGGATTGGAATATCACTTGTAGTTTAATGGTGAATTTTTGGATACAATGGAGAGATAAAAGATTTGGATTATTATAAAAGATGCAGGAGGAAATGATTAACAGTAGGACCCACAAAGGGGAGGAGGGAAGTTCAAGAGATCCTTTGGAATCTTGCTTTTATGTTGTGTGCTGGATATGTGATGTAAAATTTCAATGGAATCTTTTTGCGGCTCTTCCAATTCATCAAAACAAGTTTTTTTGCTTCTAATATAGCAGGTACATCCATTATTTATTTATTTTTGACCCCTTGAAATCTCCCACGTGTTCCTCCTTTAAAAGTGGGGGTCAGGGTAACCTGGGAAGGATTTGCAAAGGGGTAGATGGAATTGGTGGGGAAGGGTAGGGGCCCCCTAGCAGGGGCGTAGCAATGGGGGTACAGGCAGCACCGGGTGTCAGGCTGAAGGGGGGGATACCATTTGGTGCGTGCCCCGTGACTCCCCAAAACCCAGCGAGCGGCAAAGCTGCTGCTACCACTCTCTCCTTCCCCTGGCTCGCTGTAGGCTTGGGAGTCGTGGGGGGGGGTGCAAATGGGTTGCAAAAGAGTGATCTCATCCCCAAACTAAGCAGCCTTCCCCATCCCTCCCACTTCCAGCCAGACAGCGGTGGATTTAACTTTCCACATCAACATCAAGGGCTCCCTAGTATTGCATATAATTAAAATATTGCATTACAATATTAAAACGAAAAAACAAGCAAACATATAAACGCCTAACTGTTTGAAGCCCTCTTTAATTTTCATTCTTAAATGACTTCCTCAAATCCCCCCTGAGTTTCCATAAATCTCATCGTAGCAGTTTTCCAATATCCACTTTCTAAAAAACTTAACTTATTCAAATTGCTACCTTTCTTTCTCTTAATGATAATTTCAAACATAATGTTATACAATTCAACATATTTTACTCCTAGGCCAATTTGGTACTTACAAATACAGTAGTTCTACTTATATTATATTAGAATATCTAGCTAAATAATCCTTAAATTTCTTCCAAACTTCTTGATATGCCTCCTCTTTCTGATCATGGATCCTTCCAGTCAGGTCAGCCAGCTCCAAAAAGTCCATCATCTTCATCTGCCATTCCTCCACTGTGTTGGTATTTCTTGCAATTTCCCATTTTTGGCTAACAAAATTCTTGCTGCAGTTGTGGCATACAAAAACAATCTAACGTCTTTCTTGGGCAATTCCAATCCTGCATATAACTTTCTTAATGGGGGGGGGGGGGACGACTTTCCTGAATTCCACAGCGATTCCCCCCCACAATCAAGAGTGGTTTTGTACAACACTCACGAAGGCACAGTGGCCCTAGAATAAAATAACAAATAAGGAAATGGGGTGGGTACCCCACAAAAAAAATCGTAGAATTGTAGAGTTGGAAGAGATCTCCAAGGCTCATCTAGTCCAACCCTGTGTCGTGCAGGAATCTCATCCAAAGCAATCCAGGTATTGATTAGAGGAAATTATTGCGGCTCCTGATGGAGAGCGTGTGGTGCTGTGCTTTTTGCTTAATGTTTCGCTGACAATTGTGCGTTTCAAAATTTCATTCAAAGAAGCACGTGGGAGCTAGTAGCCACTTTCTGCGTTGTCTCGCAGGGTAGGGGAAGCGGGGGAGAAAAGCCTTTCGTTTAATTTTCTGCAAAGCGCTCCATTGCAAGAAGGGGTTGGGCTCTCCTGACGCCAAAGGATGCAGCGAATGCATCTTTGGCTGCTGAGCAGGAGAGCACAGGCAGCCGGAAGTCCATGGACCGTGCAGACAGCAGCAGCAGCAGCTTCTTGTGAGAAAGGAAGTGGGAGGCGTCTCTCTCTCTCTCTCTGCAACCCCCCCTCTGGCACCTGGAAGAATAGAGTAAGTGAGCGAGAGAGTTAAGGGAGGAGGATGGCACGGGGACAGATCTCCTGGCCTGTGGCTGCTGTTTCTTTGGAGCGCTGCAAGGAAGAACTGCACCTCTGAGCATCACTTGGGGCCTTTAGGAAGGAGAAGATTTGTTCAGGTACCCGAGCCAAGGCCAGTGGCTGATGCATCACCCTCTGCCAAAATGTGCGGCTTTCAGACGCTGCTGTCCAGAGGATTGGGGGATGGAGGGTGGTGGTGGTGGGAATCTGCCTGCCCTCTGCGATGGGACCTCCTAACGAAAGGCGATCCCCTGCAGCCTGATGGAGCCTTAAGGAGACTCAGCAAATGCAACCCCACCCCATTTTGCAGGAAGCTCTCCCAGCGTTGCAGTCGATTCATGTGAGGCCTGATCTACGCATGCAGCCAAATGAGGTGGTAGAGCAGATCTGAAGAAGAGATCTAAGGCTGGATCAGGCCAGTTGCTCATCTAGTGCAGCATTCTGCTCTCCGGCCAGAAACCCCTTAGCATCACCTTTCCTATAAGAAAGTGAGCCCTCCTGCAACATTACTGCAGATCGGAGGATAAAAGCTCCAGGCCACAACAGAGCCTTTGCTTCCCGCCTCTCTCCCAGCCCCACTTCTTATGAAGGGGCATAGTCAGTATTTATGTTAGGGAAAGGCAGGACACTCATCTTCCGTCTGGCTCTGTCTAGCAGATTCGGAATGATATGTCTCAACAAGAGTTGTTTTAAATTACTTTCTTTTGACCCCACATGCTCAGAAAAATCTGTCAGAATCTTTCTGCAATTTCTACTTTTAGTTAAGTATTTTTAATTACTTTGCTTCATTTAAGGGGGGCAGCTCTCTCCCACCCCCCCCGGTTACTCCTCTGTGTGACAGACCCCTCATGTTAGTCGTATAAGTCTCTGTATCTCTTCATAGGAACCTAGGACGCCATCTTGCCCAGTCAGGGTTTTGGCCCACCTACCCCAATATTGTCTACACTGACTGGAAGCAATGTTTCTTCAGGATCTCATGCGTGGGGGAGGGTGTCTTTCCCAACCAGGATGCGGGTGGCGCTGTGGTCTAAACCAATGAGCCTCTTGGGCTTGCCCATCGGAAGGTTGGCAGTTTGAATCTGTGCGATGGTGGTGAGCTCCCGTTGCTCTGTCCCAACTTCTGCCATCCTAGCAGTTCGAAAGCACACCAGCGCAAGTAGATAAATAAAGTAACAGAATGCATTACTTCCAGGCTTCGCTGCTCGCGCATGCGCAGACGCCATGCGCATGCGCAGAAGCAGCGAATTGCGACCTGCAGACGCGCAGATGCAGGTTGTGTTCGCTTCAGGATGTGAACAGGGCTCCGGAACAGATCCCGTTCACATCCAGAGGTACCACTGTATACAACCTTTAGAAGACACCTGAAGGCCGCCCTATATAGGGAAGTTTTTAAATATTTTATTATGTTTTTAAATATGCTGGAAGCTGCCCAAGTGGCTGGGGTGGGGTACAAATACTAAAATTATTGTTGTTATTATTTCTCTCTTCTAAATCTTGCAGTCCAAAAGAGGAAGACTCCCAGCAGCAACTCCAGGAAGATGGAGGAGAATCACCACAAAAGATGGAGCTCCGCCAGCTGTGCTGTGGGAGCTGCTTCCAGCTTCGCCACCACACTGGTGACCTTCCCTGTCTACAAGACCATTTTCCGCCAGCAGCTCCACGCCTTGTCCATCACGGAGGCCATCAGCCAGCTGCGCCAGGAGGGTCTTGCCGGCTTTGCACGAGGCATTGCCCCTCCGCTTCTGGCCAGGACGCTGCAAGGGGCCTTGATGTACGGCACCCACGACAACCTCCTTCGGGCCTTCTCAGACAGGTCTCCCGGGCCTTACTCTCTGAGAGACCGAGCCTTCGCAGGCCTCCTCTCGGGCTTCCTGGAAGCGCTGGCCTTTGGCCCCTTCGAGAGGGTCCAGAACGTTCTCCAGGACGGGCGGACCGTGAGGAGATTCCCCACAACCTGGAGCATCCTGGAGGAATTCAACTCCTACGCCCCCAAGGAGAGGCTGGCCCTGGGCTACTACCGAGGCCTCAGCCTCATCCTGACCCGCAATGGCCTGGGCTGTGCCCTCTACTTCTCCTTCAAGGACCCCCTCCGCGATGGCCTGTCTGACAGGGGCTTGCCCTGCTGGCTCCCAGCCCTGGTGTCAGGCAGCGTGAACGGAACCGCCATCTCCTTCCTCCTCTTCCCTCTCGGCGTCCTCATTGCCAACGTGCAGTCTCAGGTGGGGAAGGAGGAGACCCTCAGACTCCCGGCGGCGGCTGCAGCCGTCTGGAGGGCTCGGGGCAGGAAAGCCACGCTCCTCTACAGAGGAGGGTCCCTGCTCATCCTCCGGGCCGGAGTCACATGGGGCCTCACCACAGCCATCTATGACTTACTCGTGGACATCAGGGGCTAGGAGCCCCTATCCCATCCCGTTAAGGCCTTCCCAGAGTGGGGGACATTATTCTGGGCCAGGCCAGAGAGGAAAGGTCCCCGTAGGGGAGGCAGGGAGAGGAAAACAGCACGGAAGACTGTTAAGTTGTGGGTAGACATAGCAGACGACGCAGCGATTCTCCAAACAGCTCTTTATTTGTAAGCTGGAACAGAACTGAACAGAAGGGTTCGGCCAGCCTGCTTATATAGAGCTCCAGTACAACGTAACTGTAACAACTTTCTGTAACTATCCAATCACTGAACGTCACTTTCGATCCCTTATTTGCATATGTGGACCTGAACTATCTACAGTATCCCCCTGCTGGCCCAGGGTGAGAACTTCAGTACATAACAAGGACAATGTTTAATCTTGGGGTGAGGTGGGGAAGAGACCCAGTTCTAGAGCAAAACTGCAGGTGGAAAATACAGGTCGCAGAATCCTCTGCAGAAACCTGAGGCTGATAGAGAAACACCTGCTGATCTTGCCACCTAAGGCCTTCTCCTTGATCCAGTCTGTGCCTCCAACTGCAGTCCTCAGCACCATCAGAAGTGGTTCCCATTGAGATGGGGACCTGCCTCTGAGGAACAGGTGCTTGCCTGGGGCTGGGCAGGACCAAAACTGGAGGTGCACACCTCAGGTTCTTCCTTTTTGTACTATATGCGGGCAGTGCTGGTTTTCTAGAAAAAGAGGTGCCACAACTCACCATGAATGCCTCCCTCATTCTCTTAGAATGGGAATGGTGCCCACCTGAGAAGTGCCTGAACCCACCTGAGAGGTGCCAGGTGAGCTCCAGCTGGGGGGAAAAACTTGCTGCATGCGGGTATTAATTAATTTAAGCTGCAGTGCTAAACAAGCATAAGGGGAAGTCCCTTTGAACACACTGCCACTTTCTTCTGAGTAAACGCAAGGGGGCTTCCACTGTTAACAAACCAGGGAAGCAAGGAACAAACAATGCAATGGTTGAATTAATTTGCACACTAAAGACTTTGATAAGCCAAACTCACCTCTGACTCTTCTGAGGAAGTGGGACTGTACTTATTGCTGCAGATATATGCACCCACATGCATACCTAGTTATTCAGTATTACAGTATACAGACACAAATCATTATGTGTAATGCAGTAAACTTTGCTTTTTTTAAGTGAGCTGTATCTCTGTACTGACTAATGGCAGGAATTAAACTGATTCAGTAGAAAGAACTATTCGAATAATTACCTGAAGCTGGTCATGACTAGCCATTATTATTTTATTTTGTTATACCTGTAAATAAATTAAATTTAAAACATGAATTCATTACTGTATGCTGATAATGGAAAATAATAATCAAAGTCCTGGCTTTGGAGCTCCCACATTCCGCCACTGGTTGGCGCTCAAAGCAGCAGTGAAGTTTTTAATTTTTTAAACGTTTTTAAATATGCTGGAGGGACGCGGGTGGCGCTGTGGGTTAAACCACAGAGCCTAGGACTTGCTGATCAGAAGGTTGGCGGTTCGAATCCCCGCGATGGGGTGAGCTCCCATTGTTCGGTCCCTGCTCCTGCCAGCCTAGCAGTTCGAAAGCACATCAAAAGTGCAAGTAGATAAATAGGTACCGCTCCGGCGGGAAGGTAAACGGCGTTTCCGTGCACTGCTCTGGTTCGCCAGAAGCGGCTTAGTCATGCTGGCCCCATGACCCAGAAGCTGTACGCCAACTCCCTCGGCCAATAAAGCAAGATGAGCGCCGCAACCCCAGAGTTTGTCACAACTGCACCTAATGGTCAGGGGTCCCTTTACCTTACCTTGGGTTAAGTACATAATTCATTCTGAAGGTCTGTTCTTAACCTGAAACTGTTCTTAACCTGAAGCACCACTTTAGCTAATGGGGCCTCCTGCTGCCGCCGCACGATTTCTGTTCTCATCCTGAAGCAAAGTTCTTAACCCGAGGTAATATCTCTGAGTTTGCAGAGTCTGTAACCCCTTGTCACAATTTCAAAACTCACCCATCTATCCCGCCCTAAAAATTAATCGATCCGTTCGCTGGGGGCCAAGCAGACATCTGACAGGTGTTGCTGGGAAGAACACCAGCCATCGAGACAGGCCGGCCTCGCAAGGCTGTTGTAAGAATGACTGCAACAACGAATCAATGCAGGTGGGGCGCTAACAGCACGGACAAACATGTCCTGTTTACTCAGTGGTCACTTGGGGCTTACTTTCGAGTAAGTGTGGCAGGGTCGAGGAACCAAGCAAGGTTACGGGAAAGCTCAGCCGTGCTGTCATTTCGATCCATTTGGCGGCGGAGAGGGATCAGTCAGAGGACACGCATCGGGGGCTGCCGGGAACAGTTCCCACGTCTGGGCAGACGACTTTCCCGGGCGGGAGAGGCGTTGTCACCATTCCGTTGCCCGGGGGCACCATGCACGACAGCGCGCATCGAGCCGTCGGGGTGATTTCCTGCTGGCACATTGGGGGGGGGGGCGACAGAGGGGCGCCACATCCTCGCTACTGGACCTAGAGTGGGCTGGCAGGGACTGGAAGGCAAAGACTTCCGAGGGAAGGTTTCTCACTGGATGCTTTGAAATTCCTGCCTTGCTGGGGGGGGGTTGGACTAGATGCCTCCTGGTGTCCCCTTTCAACACTAGGGTTGGGCATTCAGAAAAACCCCACCTGCCTTATCGCCCCGCTTCCCGGGGGCCACGTGCTGCCCCTGCCAGCTCGGGCATGCCCTCCCGAGGAGCGGGGGGCGGGGAGGCGGGCCCGCCCCGTCCAGCCCTGGGGCGCGTAGTTTTCTCCGCCGCGGCCGCCGCAGCCCAGCCAGGCGAGGGGACTACACTTCCCGGCGTGCCGCGCGGCTCGACGCCAGCTATAAAAGGCCGCCCCGGACACGTTGCCTTCGGAGAGCGCGGTGCGGATCAGTTCGAGGGCTGCAGACAGTTGAAGGTAGCGCGGAGAAAGAGGGGCGGTGGCCGGAGCTTTGTGTCCGGGGCTGTGCCGTCGAGGGGCGCGTGGCGGGCGGGGGGGTTGCAAAGCCCGGGGAGGGGGCGCTCCTTGCTTTGATCTTCCTGGGCGCGGGTGGGATCCCTTGGGGCGGGCGCGTTATGGCGAGGGAGGGGGGCGGCATGCGCATGCTTCCGAAATGCTTGGCCGACGGGGACCTGGATGGATGCACGGGGGATTAAGCATCTCCCTTGCTCCTGCGAGGTGCAGGATCCCGTGGGTGTGTCCGGCGAATTCGGTGCATGCCAAATTCGGTGCATGCCTGTTTTGCAGTTTGGGTTGGGACCCCATCGCGGTAAACGATGGTTTGGGGGCCATCGAACACTTGCGCTGCTGTTTGGAGGGAGAGAAACCCGAGCTCGCGTTCAGACGACCAAACTGACTCGCATCAGCTGTCGGGCAACGGGAGCAGCCAGGGAGGAGGAACGGTGCAGAACTTTCGAACAACACGCACCTTGAACAATAGGTTTCCTTGAAAAAAAAAATCTCCAGTATGTTGCTTCCTGCCTGATAACGCTTGTAATAGTACGATGACTTAACTATGTCAATAGTAAGGGGAGAGATATTGTGTTGCACAGTACATAATGGCTTTTTCCACCTGCCTTGCCCCACCCTCCAGGCCTAGGAGCCTTCACAGAATCATAGGGTTGGAAGGGACCCAGGGGTCATCTAGTCCAACCCCCTGCAATGCAGGTATCGCAACTAAAGCATCCATGACAGGTGGCCGCACAACTCTGCTTTAAAACCTCCTAGGAGAGGTCTACAACCTCTCAGAGAGTCTGTTCCACTAGCAAACAGCTCTTACTGTCAGAAAGTTCTGATGTCCTTTCTTGTCACTTGAAGCCCTTGGTGCGAGTCCTGCCCTCCAGAGCAGGAAAAAGAGAGCCGTTTCCAGTGGAAAAAAACTGAGGGGGGAGAGACTCTGTTTGCCTTTGTGGGTGTTTGATTTCACCTGTGCTGCCCCTCCTTCAAAAGGGAGTTGCTACCTTGGCAGGGCACTGAGTTTATGTGTATTTTATCGAGCTCAATAGAACGAAATATGAGTCATAGGGGCATGGAGAGTGTATGTATTGACTTAACAGTACTTAGTCTTAATTAATTCTAACATTGCTTTATAGATTATAAATGCTGTCTCAATTTGTTCATTACATATGTTCTATTACATTTATCATGCTGGTTATTTGTAAGCCACTTTGGGATTCCTTTGAATGAAAAACAGCAAATAAAAAACGTTTTGTGCAAGGCTGCCGCTGGCAGCCGGAGCGACAAGGGCACAAGGCTATTAAATATAGGGGCTTTGTGGACCAGCTGCAGCCTCACACCGTGGCTGGCAAAAAACCAGCTGCACCAATATAAGATGGGGGGGCACACCTTACGGTACGCATGAAAAGGATCTAGGGTTTTAGCGGACCACAAGCTTAACATGTGCCAGCAGTGTGATGCAGCAGCAAAAAAAGCAAATGCTGCATCAACAGAAGTATAATTTCCAGATCAAGGGAAGTAATATTGCTGCTCTATTCGGCACACCTGGAATGCTGTGTCCAGTTCTGGGCGCCACAATTTAAAAAGGATGTTGACAAGCTGGAACATGTGCAGAGGAGGGCAACCAAGATGATCAAGTGAGGAACAGTTGAAGGAGCAGTTTATGTTTCGCCTGAGGGTTGAAGGGGAGATTGAGAGGAGATAGGACACCCATCTTCAAATATCTCAAGGGCTGTCATGTGGAAGAGGGAACAAGCTTGTTTTCTCCTGCTCTGGAGGGTAGGACTCGAAGCAGTGGCTCCATGCTCCATGAAAGGATATTCCTAAACATCAGGAAGAACTTTCTGACAGCGAGAGCTGCTTGACAGTGGAACGAACTCCCTTGGGCTCTGCCTCCTTGGAGGTTTTTAAGCAGAGGTTGGGTGGTCGTCTGTACGATCTAGTTGAGATTTGTGGACTGTGAGGAGTTGGACTCTAGGGGTCCCTTCCAACTCTACAATTCTATGATTTCAAATTATGTTGGATGTTTTATGCCCTTTAAGAACAAATGTGCCGGGTGTTTGCGTGCACTAGTGCATGTCTTATCTAAATGGGGGGTGCCAAGCCCAAGGGTCAGCAAACTTTTTCAGCAGGGGGCCGGTCCACTGTCCCTCAGACCTTGTGGGGGGGCCAGACTAGATTTTGAAAAGGAAAACTGAACGAATTCCTATGCCCCACAAATAACCCAGAGATGCATTTTAAATACAGTGGTACCTCGGGTTACATAGGCTTCAGGTTACATATGCTTCAGGTTACAGACTCCGCTAACCCAGAAATACTACCTCAGGCTAAGAACTTTGCTTCAAGATGAGAACAGAAATTGCGCGGCGGCAGCGGGAGGCCCCATTAGCTAAAGTGGTGCTTCAGGTTAAGAACAGTTTCAGGTTAAGAACGGACCTCTGGAATAAATTAAGTTCTTAACCTGAGGTACCACTTTAAAGGCACATATTCTACTCATGTAAAAACACCAGGCAGGCCCCACAAATAACCCAGAGATGCATTTTAAATAAAAGGACACGTTCTACTCATGTAAAAACACTCTGATTCCCAGACCGTCTGCGGGCTGGATTTAGAAGGCAATTGGGCTGGATCTGGCCCCCGGGCCTTAGTTTGCCTACCCCTGCCCAAGCCTTTGACCCGGGTGAAATAAAGCCTAGGTTTTTGTGTGTGTGTGTGTGTGTGTGTGTGTGTGTGTGTAGTGGGGGGTTGCCTTTCCCTCTGCTGTTTGGGTGCTGCCTCTCCCCCCACCCCACCCTTAACGGAAGTGTCTGTGCTTTCTTGCAGTTCTCAAGTTGTCGTCTCGCTTCCCTGTGGCCAAGATGTGTGACAAACCCGACCTCTCCGAAGTGGAGAAGTTTGATAAGAAGAAGCTCAAGAAAACCAACACGGAGGAGAAGAACACGCTTCCTTCGCAGGAGAGTAAGTGTTTCCTGGGACGGAGCCTTCCCTGGGACTCTGGTTTCCCTAAGCTCTGCAACTTGGGGAAGGGCAAACTTGACCCACGGCTTGGCGGGGCAGCTGGTTGCAGCTTCAAGCAAGAGCCCACGCAGCTCGCCCAGTTCACTGGCATCTCCGGGGGGTGGGCAAGAGAGGTCCCTGCCTGAAACCACGGAGAGTGTAGGCAATACTGAACAGGGTCTGACCAGAGTCTGGTGCTGCTAGGAAAGCCCAGGGCAGACTGGTGCTGCTTGAAAGTCCCACAGAAACGCCTTGACTTCCTGACCCTTGGCCGGGCTTGTTCTGCATTCAGCGGCCCCACCCCTGGGATTGGCGCTCCGGATAAAACTGGATTCCTCTTTCCTCTACTTCTGGTTCCTGGCAAGGAAGGAGGAGTATCCTGTGGCAGCAGAGGGGCTGCTGCTGCTGCTACTGCTTTCTGTCGACATCATCCAACAGGAATCTGGGCTGAGCTGAGCATGTCTGGGCATCTCAGGGCCCCACCTGAAAAAGAGTTTTTGCACTCGGCTGGCTGGCTGAGTGAGGCCTCCATGCCCCCGAAGACCCACTTTTTATTAGTAGTAGTGTTTTTTAAAAGGAATTTCAGGTATTCGAAATAAGTGATGAAAGAAAATGGGGCTGGGGGAGTACAAATGATACAATAAGAAATGTATAGTGTAATTCAGGGGTCAGCAGACTTTTTCAGCAGGGGGCCGGTCCACTGTCCCTCAGACCTTGTGGGGGGCCGGACTATACTGTATTTTGAAAAAAAAATATATGAACGAATTCCTATGCCCCACAAATAACCCAGAGATGCATTTTAAATAATAGCACACATTCTACTCATGTAAAAACACCAGGCAGGCCCCACAAATAACCCAAATAAAAGGCCACATTCTACTCACACTGATTCCCGGACTGTCCACGGGCTGGATTTAGAAGGCAATTGGGCCAGATCTGGCCCCCGGGCCTTAGTTTGCCTACCCATGGTATAATCCAATGTGTAGAATCGGTTACATTTCAATACATTATTATATAATAATGTCCTAATACGTACATGATTATTAGTAACACATTATATGCTGTATAAGCTCGTACCAAATGTCAATATATTCATCCAAAGTCTACATCTATAAGCAATCCATTCATATGTTTGAAACACAGGTATATAAACTGCAGTTGCGATATAAGGGATTGATATTTGGACTGGAGCATAATTGAAATGAGTAAGATTTTGGAATGCAGAAACAAAGAAAATGATCAAGCCATTAATACTAGCATGTGGGGGAGGTACCTAAATTGTATAAGTTAGCATCACAGTGATTAGTATTATTAATTGTATTATAATTTCGCATTGTTATAATGAGGCTATTATTGGATTGTTGTAATTGAAAACTAATAAAAATTATTATCAAGGTTAATAATCTAGTTTACGGTCGCCCCAATGTCTAGGTGCCATTTTCCCCGCCTAGAGGAGTTTCATTACTATTATTCATTTCACTTCCGTACTGCTTTATAATTTTAAGAAAAAAATCGCCGAACCATATTTATTTACCTACTTAACTTACAAAGCTGCCCCATAGCAGAAGTACTCTAGGAAGCCAGTGTGGTGGAGTGGTTATCGAGTGGGAGATCAGGGTTCAAGTCCCCACTCAGTCATGAAGCTCACAGCCTCTTAAGGAATCTCCATGTAGTCGCAATTGGACCCATTCCAGTCGCAAAACACGCCTGGGTAATGTTTAATACTTGCCAGAGCCCTAATAGTTCCTCCTTCTCTTTCAGCCATCGAACAGGAGAAGGAATCTGCGAAGTGCTCATAGAGAAGGCCTCTCCGCATGGAAACATCCACGTTCTTCCTCCCTTTTTTTAATTGAGTGAGGTGTTTTTGTAATATGATGATGTCTGTTGTGTATATTGAGCAACGCAACCTCCTCTTTAGCTGCTTCGGGGGGCCTTGAAGACCTGCCCCCTCCCCATTTCTTCCTGGGCCGCTTCCTGTTTTGGGGCTGCCAAAGGGGTGGGCAAAGGATGCCAAGAAAGAAAAGAGTTCAGGGGCTCACGGGCCCCCCCCGCAAACCCCTCTCCTTCCTCTTCCCACACGCAGCAGCTCCACAAAGTGCCACTGCCTCAAACCTCTTTCAGCAGCTTTCCTCAATTTGTTTTTCCTACAAATGAAATGGAGAAATACCTGTGAAAAATAAATGAACATGAACTCCTTCAAGGTTGTCTTTTGTGTCTTTGTCAGAACTGCGGAGACCTGTTGCTGCTTCCTCCCTTGTGGATTAAAGGTAAAGGCACCCCTGACCATTGGGTCCAGTCGTGGCCGACTTTGGGGTTGCGGTGCTCATCTCGCTTTATTGGCCGAGGGAGCCGGTGTACAGCTTCCGGGTCATGTGGCCAGCATAACTAAGCCACTTCTGGCGAACCAGAGCAGCACACAGAAACGCTGTTTACCTTCCCGCCAGAGCAGTACCTATTTATCTACTTGCACTTTGACGTGCTTTCAAACTGCTAGGTTGGCAGGAGCAGGGATCGAGCAACGGGAGCTCACCCCGTCACGGGGATTCGAACCACCGACCACCTGATCGGCAAGTCCTAGGCTCTGTGGTTTAACCCACAGCGCCACCCGCATCGCTCCCTTGTGGATTGCATATCCTCAAAAGTCTCCCGGTTTTCCAGGGACAGTCCTGGAATTACAGAAGCCATCTTGGTTTCTAATTTGATCCCAGAATGTCCCAGTTTTCCTTTTTCCTCCACCTCTTAGAGAAGAATTAAAAGTGGTGTGTGTGTGTGTGAGAGAGAGAGAGAGTGAGCGATTGGGTACAAAAACAGTCCTGTTTATACTGAAAATAAAAACCAAATGAAGGAAACATTGAAGCTGGCATACAAAGCCCTATAATTTTGAAGGAAGATGTCACCAATCCCCTTGAAATTCTATCATTGCAGTGCTTCATATGTTACAACAATGGCGGATTTTTGCATTTTTATTGCAGGCCGACTATGCATGGCTTGTAACATTTGAAGGACGACTGCGGGCTGCTTCACACTCGTGTCCCATCAGGCATAAAGGCAGGAAATAAACGAATAAATAACACTTGATCACTCTACACTGATCTGTTTTTACACATGCACGCCCATCCCTGGATGAGTGCATCCTCACCACAGAATGTGCGCCATGCCTTACATCGTGTTAAGGACAATTAAAAAATAAAGGTGGGGAGAAGCTATTGAAATGTGCAAAAAAAGTTTAAAATAGATATTTTTGACTTGCTTTGGAGACACAGAAATCTGCCTTTTGCTGTGATGCGTGAAGTTGCAGTAAGACAGCAAAACGGCTACAAACAGAATACTTGGGGCATGTTTATCCCCATTCCTAATCAAGATTAAAGTATAATCCTATAAGGTAAAGAAAGAAAAAGGTAAAGGACCCTTGGATGGTTAATTCCAGGTAAAGGCGACTCAGGCTGTGGCACTCATCTCGCTTTCAGGCCGAGGGAACCGGCGTTAGTCCACAGACAGCATTTTGGGTCATGTGGCAGCATGACTAGACTGCTTCTGGTGCAACGGGACACCGTGATGGAAACCAGAGTGCACGGAAATGCCATTCACCTTCCTGCCACTGGCGTGCTTTCGAACTGCTAGGTTGGCAGGAGCTAGGACAGAGCAACGGGAGCTCACTCAGTCATGGGGATTCGAACCGCCGACCTGATCGGCAAGCCCAAGAGGCTCAGTGATTTAGACCACAGCACCACCCGCGTCCCTGTAATCCTATAGAGTGGTACCTCGGGTTAAGTACTTAATTCGTTCCAGAGGTCCGTTCTTAAACTGAAACTGTTCTTAACCTGAGGCATGCTTTCGCTAATGGGGCCGCCTCCCACTGGTGTGCGATTTTCGTTCTTATCCTGGGACAAAGTTCTTAACCTGGAGCAACCACTTCCTGGTTAGCGGAGTTTGTAACCCGAAGCGTCTGTAACCTGAGGTACCACTGTAATCCACTTATGACACATAGGCCACATCTGCACTATCCCTTTTTAAAAGAGTTAAACATCCTTGGGTTTGCGAAGGGTGCTGAAAATGATTAGGAGACCCCCTATTGCCCTCCCGCAGATACAATTCCCAGAATTCACTATAAAGAGAGACTTGTGTATTAAACCACTCTAGAAATTTGAGCTCTGAGGAGAGGAATTGGGGGTTGCTCAAGAGTTGCACCACCTTTGTGAAACTTGCTGGTTAACTCTTGCTAAAGAGAGAGGTGGCACAAGAACTTGCTTGAAGAAAACTGCCCGTTAAGAAGCTGTGAAGAATTACTGTCAGCACGGCAGCTGGAGAAACCACAACATGCTCCGTTAGATTTCGAGAAGATAGAGATACAAAATGTGTTCAGATGACTTGCGTGGCAATAAGCATCCTTTGAGGAGACACTTTTCCCTTGAGAAATGGATCCCGTTACAGAGATAGGAAAATGGGCCCAGAGAGGAGGGACTTGCCCTGTGAGCCTACAGATCTGTTTCTTCAACTCCGCTGAACCGCACCATGCATGTGTGTCCGCCATGTTCTTTTTCATTCCTCCCCAAACATGAAAGACAAGCATTTTCCTGAAAGAACCATTTATTTCATTATTCCGCGTGGAAATAAATTAGATTTGGCTTCGAATTAAGACTGTGTAGAAAAAAAGAAAGCTGTTTCCCCCCCCTCTGGAGTGATACAAAGGGAATTCTGGATAAGGAAAGGCTAGAGGATAACAAGCTTTGGCACAAAGGGGTGGTAGAGCACAGATTTTTGGCCTGAGGTGTTTGGAATTATGGGTGGTAAGCGTTGGCCTGAGGCTGAGAGGATCTTCTCTCGGGTCCAAGGTGAGGAAGCGTCAAGGTATGGAGTGTCTTCTCAAGGTTGCCTTTGATCGCTCCCAACTCCCCAGTTCCCCAGCAAAGCTCCCACATCATCCAGGGCCTTCTGGATGCTACCAGCCAGATGCTCAGCATTGGTCTCCTGGCAACAATTGAAGGCAGTAACAGCAAAGTTAACATGGGTAGGCAGAGGGTTGTAGCAGACCGCATAGCCGTCGGGGACCAGCGGCCCGTAGCACATCACACAATCCGTGCGGGCAGCTACCTGAGGGAGGAAAAATAAAATGCGATCAGCAGATCATCACCATCCCTTGTTACTTCTTTCTCTTTAAAGTATTGGCTGTTTTTCCACATTAAGATAATAATAGTAATAACAGTAATAATGATAATTTATTATTTATACCCCACCCATCTGGCTGGGTTTCCCCAGCCACTCTGGGCGGCTTCCAACAGAACAATAAAATACAATAACCTATTCAACATTAAAAGTTTCCCTAAACAGGGCTGCCTTCAGATGTCTTCTAAAAGTCTGGTAATTGTTTATCTCTTTGACATCTGGTGGGAGGGTGTTCCACAGGGCGGGTGCCACTACCGAGAAGGCCCTCTGCCTGGTTCCCTGTAACTTGGCTTCTCTCAGTGAGGGAACCGCCAGGAGGCCCTCGGCACTGGACCTCAGTGTCCGGGCAGAACGAAGGGGGTGGAGAGGTTCCTTCAGGTATACTGGACCGAAGAATGACATAAACAACAATATTCCACAAACCACAAAGGAAGTAAAACAAAAAAGGGTCTTCACCAGTAAGCACCAGCCTCAGAAGCAACACACTGATTCATAAGTCTCGTCTGGTGGAACAAGCATGTTTTTTTCCACTTGGGGCAGGAAAAGTCTTGTGTCGGAGGAGCACCAGATTCAAATTCTCACTCAGCCATGAAGCTAACTAGGTGATGTTTGACCACTTCCTCTCAACTGGACCTTCTTCACAATATTGGTTAGAGTAAGGGGAGGAAGGAAAGAGAATCTCGAGCTCCATAAGGAAAAGGTATGACTAAATTGTAATAAGAATTGGGGTGGGGTGTTTTTTAAGGGATGTTGCTTGTCAGGCCTCCTGGGAAGAGCATCCCACAATCATGGTGCCATCACTGACGAGGCCCTGCTCCGCACACCCACAGATTCTAAGAATGAAACCCAGAGCAGAATTTCTCCAGAAGGCCTTGGCAACCAAGGAGGTTCACGTGTGAGGAGGCTCTTGAAAAGTCACAACACAAGGGCCACGGCTCCGTGGTATGACACATATTTTTCATGCAAAAGGTCCCAGGTTGAATCCTTAGCCTCTCCGGGTAGGGTTGCGACAGGGCCCAGTTTGAAACCTTGACGGGCCACTGCCAGTCAGTGTAGACCCGTGTTTCCCAAACTTGGGCCTCCAGCTGTTTTTGGACTACAACTCCCATCACCCCTAGCTAGTCAGGGATGATGGGAACTGTAGTCCAAAAATTGCTGGCGGCCCAAGTCTGGGAAACATTAGACTGTTGACCAATGGTGAATATATACCACTTGAATTTTATTTTTTTAAAGGAAATTGCTGTACTCAAGCATTTTTATAAATAAATGTCACTGGGACATATAATTAGGGACTCAGAGAGGGTGAACGGAAGACATAAAGGACTCTGAGCTTGAGCTACACAGGAATGTGGAGGCCTAGCAGACTCTACCTGTCCCGTGGAGAGTTTCCAGTGAGACGCCACAGCGTAGGAAGTGTCCATGAAAAGCTCCGGCACCCGGAAGCCATCGGCAATGGCCTCCAGCTTCATTCCCAGCAAATGGCGGTCGATGCCTTGCCCAGCCAGAGCCTGCAAGAGAATCAGAGGACAGAGGGTTTCTCACTGCTCTATGGGAAGCAGACTTTGTGACGCCGCTGTTCCAAGGCACCCCCAAAGCTTGCATGCGTTCCGGACGCAGCTAGAGAAGAAAGGGCGAGCTTGCTTATCCAAAATGGCGTACAGTTATATTTCTATAGCTTGATACCTGTGGGCTCTTGTTTCCTTAAAAAAGGAGCCTGGACTCAGGACTGGGCAAACCATGGTTTTCCTCCACACTTTCCTTTGTGTTGCAATACTTGTGCTCTGTCACTACGGGCTGCTATGGTGCTGCTTGTTTCAGAACAAGAGCTGCCACCCGCCCACCTAAAAATAGCTTTTGCTGCAACCACCACCATGTGGTGGTGTCAAGAGGAGCTTTAAATATATCTAAGATGTCACAGTTGGAGATTCACAACCGACAATCTTTGGGAAAAGGTGCGGAGAAGAAATCAAATCAGAAAAACAGCGCAGGCAAAATCATTTAAACACACTTCCTGTAGCACTGTGGAGCTGGTCTAAATTCCTTTCCCCCTTGCTCCCACCCACCAAACCTTTTTGTTCTTTTCAAATACTGTAAGAAGGGATCTAGTCAAAGATTGACTGTTTCATCTAATTACGCCCTAATTGTCACCTGCAGTTCCTCAGGGCTCGGGCCTACACGTAACAGGGTTTTCTTTTCTTTTTTAACACACACAAAATCAGGCCTTCTTTCACTCAGCGCCAGATTAGTTCCCAACAAGAAACACACTTTATGTGTTTTTAAAGAAAGAATCCTGCTGCCATTTTGACTTGTAGCAGAATTTCCAACAATGAGCTTCCCATTCGTTACCAACAGGAAGACACAAGTCCTGCAGAACTCCTCACTGAGTCCCTTGTTTGTTGGTTACATTTTTTTAAATCTCACTTTTCATACGATTTGTGTATCCAACTGCTGCTCACATCAATTAGAGAGAGAAAGAGAGAGCATGCGTGGCAATGGGCTTGCAAGCTAAATAAAAATACAAGTCACACAAAGAGAAGGAAAGGGTCAGGAAAAAAGTAGAGAGGGGAAATTAGTCATTCAAAGCGAGCTGTAAAAGTAGGCATTAAGTGCTTCCTGTGTCTATCCTTTATGCAACCAAGCCACTCCTGTACAGGGGGTTTTGTTACCTGCTCTGTGAGGGTGCTGTGAACCTCGACTGCTTTCTTCAGCAAAGACAATCTTTCCGGAGCCTAGTGTGCAGAAGAGGAGGAAATGGATCACAGATGGAGGGCAGGAAGTTCCAAGTCTCTCTCACACAAATAATAATAATAATAATAATAATAATAATAATAAGTGGCATTTGCCTATTGACATTATTATCATTACAGTGGTACCTCAGGTTAAGAACTTAATTCGTTCTGGAGGTCCATTCTTAAACTGAAACTGTTCTTAACCTGAGGTACCACTTTAGCTAATGGGGCCTCCCGCTGTTGCTGCGCGATTTCTGTTCTCACCCTGAAGCAAAGTTCTTAACCCGAGGTAATATTTCTGGATTAGCGGAGTCTGTAACCTGAAGCATCTGTAACCCGAGGTACCACTGTATTTATTACTAGGTTATACTCAGAACAGACCAACCCTGAAATTAATGAATATAACTACCGTAAGTTAGGTCTATTCATTTGAATACGTCTACTCTGTATAAAAGGGATGCAGGTGGCGTTGTGGGTTAAACCACAGAGCCTAGGACTTTCCGATCAGAAGGTTGGCGGTTTGAATCCCCGTGACGGGGTGAGCTCCCATTGCTCGGTCCCAGCTCCTGCCAACCTAGCAGTTCGAAAGCACGTCAAAGTGCAAGTAGATAAATAGGTACCACTCTGGCGGGAAGGTAAACGGCGTTTCTGTGCGCTGCTCTGGTTCACCAGAAGCGAACCATGCTGGCCAAATGACCCAGAAGCTGTACACCGGCTCCCTCAGCCAATAAAGCGAGATGAACACCGCAACCCCAGAGTCGGTCACGACTGGACCTAATGGTCAGGGGTCCCTTTACCTTTTTACTCTGTATAAAATTTAGTTGAATATACCATCCAATGCATTAGATTTATTATACGCCCTTCACCATGAAGTCGCAGGGTGGCTTACAACAATAAAAACAACAACACAATTCACAAAATAAATTGTAGTCAAGAGAATAGACTGGGACCTAAATATATAGGTATCTTGGATGTCAAAGGTCAGGGGTGAAGAGGGGCGTCTTTTGCAAAACTGTGTATGGTTTTTACTGTGTTTCTATATTTTGTTGTGAGGCTGCCTAGAGTGGAAGGTACACATGATATTATTTTTATTTTTATTATTATTACTACTACATAATGAAGGTGTCAGATGCACCTCTGGGGGTGGGGATTCCACAACTTAGGGTCTGCCGCAGAGAATGCTCTCTTTCCAAGCCAACTCCCCAAATTCAAGGCAGTGGGATCACCTGATAACCCATCCCTCTTTGCAGGGAACTCTGGGAATTATAGCTCTGTGAGGGGAAGAGGGGTCTCCTAACTCTCAGCACCCTTAGAAAACTACACTTCCCATTGGTTCTCTCTCTGAGAGGACCGGAAGCCATGACCATTGATGATGTGTTATATAATAGGGCTTGAAATGCACAGTGATAGTGTGGCCTAGCCTCCCAGGTCCATAGCTGTCAACGTTTCCCTTTTTTTAAGGGAAATTCCCTTATTCAAATTGGATTCCTCAAAAGAAATGGGAAAAGTTGACAGCTATGCCCAGGTCCTGGTTCAACACTCTAGCCACAGTTCATCATATCCAAAGTTAGTGCGGTCCACTCTTCTCCTTTCAAGCCTCCTTAGGAAGCAGGGGCTGGATACCTGACAGTCGTCGTCAGCCATAGCTCGGACAAAGGCCAGCGCGGCAGAGGTAGTGGAGCGAATGGTCTCCGTCCGGCCGCGGTGGAAGCGACGGAGAGAGGCCGACTCGGCGGTTGCGCACAGCTCCCCATGTGCCCTAAGGAAGGCACAGCAGTCAGGCACAAAGACACAAACACACAGCCCTTCTGCGCAATGCACACAGCCTGCCCTTCCTCAGATGAGCAATTCCACATACCGTATTTTTCGCTCCATAAGACACACTTTTTCCCTCCTGATAATTAAGGGGAAATGTGTGTGCGTCTTATGGAGCAAATGCAGGGGGGAGGTAGGCAGGAAAAGCCCCCAAGAGCCACACACAAGCCCTTGCAGACTTTTCCCCAGGAGGGAGAAGGGACTGACGAAGCCAGTCAGTCCCTTTTTCCTCCTCGTGGAAAAGCCCGCAGGAGCCACACGCTCCTTAAAGGGTGCGTGGCTCCTGTGGGCTTTTGCAGGAGGTGGGGATTCTGTGGGAGGTGGGGCTTCTGCAGGGAGAGGCTGTGCGCGGCTAAGGAAGCCGAGACAGCGAGCAGGATCCATCCCGCTCGCTCTCTTGGCCTCTGCCATAGCCGTGCGCAACCTCTCTGGCGGCTAAGGAAGCGAGCGGGGTCTCGGCTTCCTTAGCTGCGCACAGCCTTTCCCGGCCGGAGAGGCTGCGTGTGGCTATGGCAGAGGCCAAGAGAGTGAGCGGGATGGATCCCGCTCGCTGTCTTGGCTTCTTTGCTCTTTGGGGCTGGGGGCAGGGGGGACCCGGGCTTCCTGGGTTTCCCTGGCCGCCCGGAGAAGCTCTGGGAGAAGCGGACAGGCTTCATATTTTTTTCTTGATTTCCCCCTCTAAAAACTAGGTGTGCCTTATGGAGCGAAAAATACGGTACACAAAAGCACATTCTTCCGTTTAGCCTTAACTGGTCTGATGCCAACTTGCACCTATTCCTGGAAAAAAACAGGACAGCACCTTCCATTTAACATTCCCTAAAGCCGGCTTCACTCCTGGATAGCTCAAGCCGGTCTGAGCATGGTGCTGATCATGCCAAGATTGCAGGATCGATCCCTGTTTGAGACAGCTAGTAGGGACTAGATGAACCTCAAGGGTCCCTTTCCAGCTCTACAATTCTATAATTCTACCTGTCAAGGGACATGGGTGGCGCTGTGGCTTAAACCACAGAGCCTAGGACTTGCTGATCAGAAGGTCGGCGGTTCGAATCCCCGTGACAGGTGAGCTCCTGTTGCTCCTGCCCTGCTCCTGCCAACCTAGCAGTTCTAAAGCACCTCAAAGTGCAAGTAGATCAATAGGTACTGCTCCGGCAGGAAGGTGCACTGCTCTGGTTCGCCAGAAGTGGCTTAGTCATGCTGGTCACATGACCCGGAAGCTGTACGCCGGCTCCCTCGGCCAATAAAGCGAGATGAGCGCCGCAGCCCTAGAGTCGGCCACGACTGGACCTAATGGTCAGGGGTCCCTTTACCTTTACCTGTCAAGGCAGTCACCTCACCTGTAATAGGCTAGCTGCAGTGCCACCTGCAGGACAGAGTCTGGGCTCAGCCTAAGGCGTTTGAGAAGCTCCTTGCCAAACCCGCAGTAAGTGAAACAGCTGATGTCGAGGTCGGTGATGAGACTGTGATAAAAGAGAAAAGGGAGGCAGACTGATTAGACAACAACCCTCAGCTGCAGCTTACAGCCTGCCTGCCTGACCACCACCCCCTTGCTATACCAGAAACTATGTACCTTATCCTACCATCTTCCAAGGCCAGCTTAAATGCCACAGTGAAGCACGGTTCCTCCTCCGCTAGAATTCTGCATCAGTTGTGCTGTTTCTGTGCCCAGAACTGACAGGGTTTCTGGTAAAGGTAAAGGGACCCCTGACCATTAGGTCCAGTCGTGGCCGACTCTGGAGTTGCGGCGCTCATCTCGCTTTATTGGCTGAGGGAGCCGGCGTACAGCTTCCGGGTCATGTGGCCAGCATGACTAAGCCGCTTCTGGCAAACCAGAGCAGCACACGGAAACACCGTTTACCTTCCCGCTGGAGTGGTACCTATTTATCTACTTGCACTTTGATGTGCTTTCGAACTGCTAGGTGGGCAGGAGCAGGGACCGAGCAATGGGAGCTCACCCCGTCGCGGGGATTCGAACCGCTGACCTTCTGATCAGCAAGTCCTAGGCTCTGTGGTTTAACCCACAGCGCCACCCGTGTCCCTAGGGTTTCTGGTACTAAACTTCAAAGCTCTGAACCCTTTGGGACCAGGTTTTGCCTATAGCAGCCCAAGACCCTGAGAGCCACTGCTATCCAGACAACACAATGCTGGGAGACTAGATGGACAACAATCGGACATGGGAATGACCCAAAATGATCAAAGGGTATGTGTGAAATTTTTCTGGGGGGGGGGAGGCAAGTAAGCGGGGTGGGGAGGGAAGGGAGATGTCAATAGGAAGATGTTTTTTGCCCCTTTCTCATAACATTAGAATTCAGAGACATCTGAGGGAGCTGAATGTGGGACGATTCAGGACCGGGGGGGGGGGGGGGAAGGAAATACTTTTTTCACACAGCACATGGTTCAACAATGGTAGTCGCTCCCACAAAAGGCAGCGATGGCCAAGTTGGACGCCTTGGAAAGAGGATCAGACAAATTCATGGAGGGTAAGGCTATCTCCCTCATTGCGAGAAGTGAGGTTACAGGGAACCAGACAGAGGGCCTTCTCTGTAGTGGCACCCGCCCTGTGGAACACCCTCCCTTCAGATGTGAAGGAAATAAGCAGGTAGCTTATCTTTAAAAGACATCTGAAGGCAGCCCTGTTTAGGGAAGTATTTAATATTTAATGCTGTATTGTTTTTAACACTCGATTGGAAGCCACCCCGAGTGGCTGGGGAAACTCAGCCAGATGTTAAATAGTAAATTATTATTATAGCCATGATTTTATTTTTTTATTTAATTTATTTAATTTATATAGGCTTTGATAAACCACCTTCTGAATACTGGGGAGAGCACTGTTGTGCTCAGCTCCTGCCTGTGAGCTTCCCATGGACATTTGTTTGGTGCCTTTCAAAACAGGATGGCAGACTAGATAGGCTTTTGGCCTAATCCAGCCGTGGATTCTTCTGTTCTCGTGGAAGAGGGCTGCTTCCTGTGTTCCCAAGAGGCCTCTGTTGCTCATCTCTGGTAAGTTGCAGCTTCCCATGTGCTGCCTTTCATATGCAAATGGAGGTGGCGGACAGGAAACAGAGGGACACATTGTACAGCGCCAGCCTCCCTCGCTCCGGCTTAACCTCATCTCAACTGTCCCTAAAAAACATCTGTTTGGTACAAAAGAACCCTCTGCTCCCCTTGCGACAGCCAGGTCTCTGCGACTCGGAAGCTGAGAGACAAGGCTTAATGGGGAGAAACAAGAATCACTGTGATCTTCTTCCCTGAGCTGTGGCAGGCAGTTCTGAATGAAAACCCAGCGCAAGGAGCAAGATGGACCTGGTTTTCACACTGGGAAACGCTCAAGAACGAGACCACACCATTGTCTCCAATTTGGCTGTGGTTGTCCTCCTCCTGCCCAAATCCCACTCTGATTGTGACACCACTCTCAAACACACACACTCACACACTCACATGTCCAGGTTCTGTTTGGCATGTTCGATGTCGCGTTTGATTTCTGGAGTGAAACAGAAGTAGAGTTTTTTGGGTAACTGCAGAGGTATCAGTGGGGCGCGGACTGGGACAGGATCTTTGCTGGCAATTGGGGAGGAGAGAGAGAGAGAGAGGGAGGAAAAATGCATTAAAAAGAAAGTGATGGGTTAAAGACCCACAATTGTTTGTCTCCCTATGGCAAGGGAGACACACTCCGGATATTCATAATGTGAAGTTCAGTTCACATTATGAATACAACCACCGTCAATAACATCGTAAATTCAGCATATAAGGTACTATAAACCTTCCAAATATCCAGACTGGTATCCACACAAAACTGATGTCTATATGAAATATGTTCAAATGTAGCCAGGACTGTGAGTTCCTCAGATCATTGGATAATGGACAAAAAAAATAGATTAAAAAAGGCTTTCTCAAAACAGGAAGTTCCAACTCCCATCTTTCGTCTGCCTCCCAGTGTTGAAGAACACAGGAAGTCCTCCCCTCGCACAGGGCAGCTTTCGACAAAAGAGGAACCAGTGCTGGGCATGCAATATTTATTCATTTTCATATGAAACTCAAGAGCTGCCCTCTGAGGACCCTTAAACAATCTCCCCCAGTTTTTCTGTTTTTACTTCCAGACCTTTACATCTCTAGCAGTGCACCTCCCTACTCCTGCTATATATTGTTTTGTTGTTCTTTAGTTGTGTCCGACTCTTCGTGATCCCATGGACCAGAGCACGCCAGGCACTCCTGTCTTCCTGCTATATAGGCAGTGATCCCCCTTCATGGATCACTGCCTTGCCGTGGCAAAGGGGCTTGAAAAACTCAGAGAAGCTATGAGCTATGCCAAGCAGGGCCACCCAAGATGGACAGGTCATAGTGGAGAGTTTTGACCAAACGTGATCCACCTGGAGCAGGAACCGGCAAGCCACTCCAGTATCCCTGCCAAGAAAACTCCATGGACAAAGACTGCTATATATTAAGGCTCCTAAACTTCCTCACAGTAATTTTTAAGAGAGCTTGAGCACCTAACATCCTTAGAACAATTTTTTAAAACAGAAATATGCTTGTCTCTTCCTCAGCATCGCCATTGCACAAAGCCTTCTCCTGGACCTGAATCTGACAAGCCCCACATCCCTTCCACGCTCCTGGTGAGGGCATTACCAGTAGTCAAGGACGTGGTCTATGATGGTGGCGATTGGTGGTCCTTCAGCAACGGCTTGTTCATAAAGCACCCCACAGGAGCCATCTTCTCCCACAATAAACTGGGAGAATGGGGTGGGGAGCAAGAGAAGGCAAACATGTGGAAAGAAAAGACAAAGAGAGAGAGGGTGTGATAGACAGAAAGGACTTACGAGAGCTTCCATTTTGAAACAGAGGCAAGGAACCTCTTCCCCCTTGGGATGTTTCCGGACTACAATTCCCATCATGCCTGACCACTGGCCTTGCTGCTTGGGGTTGATGAAAGTCAGGGTCCAACAACAACTGCAAGGCCAGGTTTCTTCTCCTTTGCTCAATCAGTCACAACAGGCAATTTTTATTATCTACATTGTCAACACCTGTTTTGGACCCTGGCCTTCCCCACCCCTGGTACACAGTCCAGATAAGGTTTCCTACAAGGGCTGAAAAAGTTTCCCCACCCTGGGATAAAGAATAGGCAAAGGTAAAGGACCCCTGACAGTTCAGTCCAGTCGCGAATGACTCTGGGGTTGTGGCGCTCATCTCGCTTTACTGGCCGAGGGAGCTGATGTTCGTCCGCAGACAGTTTTTCCGGGTCATGTGGCCAGCATGACTAAGCCGCTTCTGGCGAAACCAGAGCAGTGCACGGAAACGCTGTTTACGTTCTCGCCGGAGCGGTACCTATTGATCTACTTGCACTTTGATGTGCTTTCAAACTGCTAGGTGGGCAGGAGCAGGGACCGAGCAATGGGAGCTCACCCCGTCGCAGGGATTTGAACCACCAACCTTCTGATTGGCAAGCCTAGGCTCTGTGGTTTAACCCACAGCGCCACCCGCGTCCCTAATGGAAGGATAGAAAAGCATTAAATAAATGTGGTGACACCAAGCGGAAACAGTGTAGTACACCTTTAAAAAGGTTTGGGTTTCCTCATACCAAACCGCTCTGGCCATGCATCTGACTGGCTATGTTTCCCCATAAGAACCACAAAAGCAACGATCCAATTCTTTCCTGCTTGCTTCTGCATTTATTTAAGTACAGCCTTTGCTTAGGGTGTCTCCAAACTGTCGAGTATTTTGCAGGAGAGAGCCAAGTGCATACAGGAGGGCAACCCAGTCAGATGGGCAGGGTAATAATAATAATAATGGAATAGGACGTCCCTATTTTCATTGGAGTGGGACGCGGGTGGCGCTGTGGGTTGCCGATCAGAAGGTTGGCGGTTCGAGTCCCTGAGATGGGGTGAGCTCCCATTGCTTGGTCCCTGCTCCTGCCAACCTAGCAGTTCGAAAGCACATCAAAGTGCAAGTAGATAAATAGGTACTGCTCCGGTGGGAAGGTAAACAGTGTTTCCGTGCGCTGCTCTGGTTCGCCAGAAGCGGCTTAGTCATGCTGGCCACATGACCCGGAAGCTGTACGCTGGCTCCCTCAGCCAATAAAGCGAGATGAGCGCCACAACCCCAGAGTCGGCCACGACTGGACCTAATGGTCAGGGGTCCCTTTACCTTTATTTTCATTGGAGAAATATTGTGTGTGCCATTTCCAAGATTCTTTGGAGGAATCCACGACTGGGATGATACTGCTTTTAATGTACAGTGCAGAAGGAGCCTTAGTTGCTTCTCTCCATCTCCAAAAAAAGCACGACAAAAATAATGCTACCCTTTTATGTGGCGCCCTATAGATGCTCTGCCTTGTGAGCCCCTCCCTACCTGAACCAAGACATGGGGGTGGCAGGGGGGGGAGAGAGCCCCAGTTTACAAACACCTCTAGTCTGACCTCAGCGGCGGTGCCTCCTCCAGGCTTTCAAAAAGGAGTAGCCCCCCCCCTTTACCCTGAAGTCGTCCTCACCTGCAGAGTCTTGTCGAACCAGCGATTGCCGCTATTTGAGTAGCTGCCTCCGCCATGTAGCATCTGTGCTGCCAGGCGGCTGCTCGCTAGGGCATCCGAGACTTTCAGGACGGGAGCGTCCAAGCAGACGGTGAAGAGGCTGCGCTGAATGGCACGGGCCGATTCCCGGTTCAGCTTGTCTGGTGGCAAGGAAGGAGAGGAAAGCGAAACTCGAAGGTTATGCCAGTGCTGCGGTGCAGCAGAGAAGGAGCGTTGCGCTCGCAAGCTGAAAAATGCGTTGTTTTGAAGAAGCTGCCCACCAGAGAGCGCTCTCTATGCTGGCCTGGTGTAGACATTAATGCTTGACCCCGGGCTAACTTTCTTAGCCTCCATAGTTAAGCGTTAACACTGGGGAGGTGTTGGAAAACTGGATTAAGAGCACGCTGTGAGTGACTCCCTGGTCCTGAATGGGGTAACTGTGTCCCTGAAGGACCAGGTGCGCAGCCTGGGAGTCATTTTGGACTCACAGCTGTCCATGGAGGCGCAGGTCAATTCTGTGTCCAGGGCAGCTGTCTACCAGCTCCATCTGGAGCCAGTGTGGTGTAGTGGTTAAGAGCGGTAGACTCATAATCTGGTGAACCGGGTTCACGTCTCCGCTCCTCCACACGCAGCTGCCTTGGGCTAGTCACACTTCTTTGAAGTCTCTCAGCCCCACTCACCTCACAGAGTGTTTGTTGTGGGGGAGGGAGGGAAAGGAGAATCTTAGCCACTTTGAGACTCCTTCAGGTAGTGATAAAGTGGGATATCAAATCCAAACTCTTCTTCATCTGGTACGCAGGCTGAGACCCTATCTGCCCGCAGACTGTTTTCCCAGAGTGGTGCATGCTCTGGTTATTTCCCGCTTGGACTACTGCAATGCGCTCTACGTGGGGCTACCTTTGAAGGTGACCCAGAAACTACAACTAATACAGAATGCGGCAACTGGACTGTTGACGGGCAGTAGCCGCCAAGACCATACAACACTGGTCCTGAAAGACCTACATTGGCTCCCAGTACGTTTCCGAGCACAATTCAAAGTGTTGGTGCTGACCTTTAAAGCCCTAAGCAGCCTCGGCCCAGTATACCTGAAGGAGCGTCTCCACCCCCATCGTTCAGCCCAGACACTGAGGTCCAGCGCCGAGGGCCTTCTGGTAGTTCCCTCACTGCGAGAAGTGAGTTTACAGGGAACCAGGCAGAGGGCCTTCTCGGTAGTGGCGCCTGCCCTGTGGAACGCCCTCCCATCAGATGTCAAGGAAATAAACAGCTATCTGACTTTTAGAAGACACCTGAAGGCAGTCCTGTTTAGGAAAGTTTTTAATGTTTGATGTTTTATTGTGTTTTTAATATTCTGTTGGGAGCTGCCCAGAGTGGCTGAGGAAACCAGCCAGATGGGCAGGGTGTTAATAATAATAATAATAATAATAATAATAATAATAATTCTATAGCTGACCCAGTCTCCCTACAGCATGCACACACAAAGATACCTCTCATGAGAGTGGTGTAGGCCTGTCCCCACGTGTGTCGGTGGTCACTAGTTAGCACTCCCAGGGGCTCCTTATCGGTCTTCCAAGACTGCGCACGGATTCGCTGGAGCTGCCAGTGCAGCTGGTCGACGGTGAGAGGCGTCCCGTCGCTGTTGTACACTTCAAGTTGGAAGAACTGCAGGAGGCATAAAAAGCAGCGTCTTGTAGTAAGGTTTAAGCTTACTGGGAAACGATATAAACAGTGGTACCTCGGGTTACAGACGCTTCAGGTTACAGACGCTTCAGGTTACAGACTCTGCTAACCTGGAAGTAGTATCTCGGGTTAAGAACTTTATTTCAGGATGAGAACAGAAATCGCGCGGTGGCAGCGGGAGTTAAAGTGGTGCTTCAGGTTAAAAACAGTTTTAGGTTAAGAACAGCCTCCCGCTGCAGCCACGTGATTTCTGTTCTCATCCTGAAGCAAAGTTCTTAACCTGAGGTACTATTTCTGGGTTAGCGGAGTCTGTAACCTGAAGCGCCTGTAACCTGAAGCGTCTGTAACCCAAGGTACCACTGTATAGTGGTACAATGATAGTTACCTGGAAGTTGCGGACTACCGTGATGTAGGTGGGCGGTCTTCGGCCGGGTGGAGGCAGCAAGACGGAATCGTGCTTAGGCCCTGGGAGTCTGCACGAGGCAAAGATGCGGGAATATTGCTCCATACAGAGCGGGTAGCCTCGGGAATATTCGACTAACAGGGTCTGGCTGGCATGAAGGGGGGGAAAGGAGATAAACAAGTCAATGCCCTTCAAATCTCAATCTGTAAGGTCACTGCTGCTGCTCTGGGCAGTAGAGTTGATATGGGGTGTGTTTTAGGCAAGGCAGTCCACAAAAGCTTATGCCACAATATACACGTTAGCCTTTATCGTCACATATGCTCTTGAGGACCACTTATTATTTTATTTAACAAATTTATAGAGCGTTTCACAGCAGAAATCTGCAGGAGAGAAGCAGAATGAAACACCAAGTTCCAAAAAGCCATTTTGGAAAACTCTAAAAACGATACAGCCATCTTTACAAGTTCTAAGAACAACAGGACGTTTTTCTTTCAGCTACACAGTTGCTCCATAAATGACCGGGTCACCCCTCGGGGAAACGCTTCTTTAAACAAAAATGTCTTCAGTAGTCACCTAAATATTGAAATGCCTAATTTCAGCTGGTAACCCATTCCAGAGGGCTGGAGCTGCAACACTAAAAGCCCCCCTCTTTTGCTGCATATGAAGCTCACCTCTGAGACATGGAGTACTCTCAGCAGTGCCACATTATTAGGAGCCGTTTCCAGGCAGGGATGTACGGGGCAAGGCAATCCCTGAGATACCCCGGTCTCAAGTTGTTTGGGCTTTAAATGTTAAAAGGGCCTTAAGGAACTGACCCAGCCCTGCAATCATCCTCTGAGGACCTTTTTTGTGCGCCTCCTCCATGAGAGGTCCGGAGGGTGGCAACACGAGAACAGGGCCTTTTCTGCAGTGGCTCCCCGCTTGAGGAATCCTCTCCCTAGGGAGGCTCGGCTGGTGCTATCATTATATATCTTTAGGTGCCAGGCAAAAACTTCCCTCTAGAACCAGGCCTTTGGACTTAGTTTAAAATTTAATCTGTGGCCTTTTAGAAGCGGGCAAGATGCTTTTAATGTATTTCTCCTCCCCTTGATTTTAATTTATCTAAGTGAGGTTTTGGTTTGTTGGTTTTTTGGTTTGTTTGCCTGGTTGTACAGCCGAGGTACTAAATTCTTCTGGGTTAAGCCCAAGGGAAGCCCCACATTGAGTATGTTGCAGTAATCCAGTCCTGAGGTTGCCAGTGTCAAGACCACAGTGGCAACAGCCATAGCTGTCTAATGCACACCCAATAGCGCCCTGAAACAGTAGACTCTCCTCTCTCACACACACCTGAAGATACCCTATGTTTACATCTCACACCAGCAGGTTGTGTCCTGCATGTGACACTCTCTCTGCATTTCCCGATTTTGCCAGTCCAGAATACTCACTGGTCAATCTTTGCCTTGAAATCCAACACGCCAGCAATGAGCTTTGCAGCAAACCTACATGAAAGAGAGATAAAAATAAAATTTTAGGTTAAACGCTTCATAGAGAAACCTGAAGCTCCAGTATTCATGCACCACGGGTCCTGGGCTACACAATACCCCTTAAACACACTAAAATAGATTCCCTACTTAATAAAATCATTGCCTTTGTTATTATGACTGACCAACCAAAAGGGGGAAAAGACTGAGGAAGAAAGCTTCCAATTTCTCAGGAGCTCTCCATCAAGCTAAGCTGGGTGATCCTTGTTATTTTTATACTTTTTAGAAAAAGTAATTATTTTTCAGTGTGAGAGTGAAGCAGTGGTCAGCAACCTTTTTCAGCCATGGGCCTTTTTCAGCCACTGTCCCTCAGACCTTGTGGGGGCCAGACTATATTTTTTTGGGGGGGATGAATGAATTCCTATGCCCCACAAATAACCCAGAGATGCATTTTAAATAAAAGGACACATTCTACTCATGTAAAAACACTCTGATTCCCGGACTGTCCGCGGGCCGGATTTAGAAGGCGATTGGGCTGGATCTGGCCCCCAGGTCTTAGTTTGTACCCATGGAGTGAAGTATGCTTCCAGTTATAATTCAGGAGCAGGGAAGTGTGATTCAGATCTAGAAAGTTTGGGAAACAAAGCTTATCTGTGCTTTATGCGCAGCTATGTGTTTCAGAGCTTCAGAGAGCAGAATCACACTTTCCTTCAAAACTCACCAGAAGAGTGAGGAAAACGGTTGTTTTTATTTCCACACAGAGAGATTTTTTGAACAAAGAGACATGTTTTTAAGGACTGTATTTATACCTTACTTTTCAAGGGGGTAAAGCCTTTACTGATCAGCTCACAAGATAGCTGAGCTAGTATAAATACAATTTTAAACCCATGTACCTTCTCAGCCTCTCTTTAGAATTTTGAATTTAACTATTCAATTAGGAATAATTATTACATTGCCCAGGTGATGTTTAATGGTGGTGTTGTAAAATTCACAAAACTATAATTATGCTAAATACATAAGAGAGAGCTGGTAGCACCAGATTAGAACCAAGACTCCTTGATCAGAAGTCAAATACCAGAACACAGGTTTTTAATCACTACGAAATCTATGTAAGGGCACCAGATATGCCCTGTATCTTTCTATAAACAGGTTTATTTACATCATAAATTAAGTCCTTCTACCATTTTGCACACATCAGGGACTTGATCTGCAGTCAGATTTTCTACCACTGAGCTAAATGTGGAGAAGCCATCTCTATGACACCACTGATCTTATTTTACACCACTTTTCATGAAATCCATGTTACCCACCACAAGTTATTGGAGAAAGCAGGATGGTGGCAAACCAGAAACAAATTCCTCTAAAAAGAGGGGGCACCCGGACTTGAACCAGGGACCTCTTGATCTGCAGTCAAATGCTCTACCGCTGAGCTATACCCCCGGCACCTGGGCATGCCTGCCCAGCAAGCCTTCTTATGGATACTGGTTTTGCCACATAGTTCTCCTCCTGTGTACTTACGACTAATGGCTTTAAATGCTCTACCTACAGGAAACTCTGATCTTAGTATATACCAAAATTGTAAGGATGTCATCAGGCTGCAGTGTGTATGGCCACCAGCAGAGGGCCACACAAACTGCAGTGTGAAAACAAGAGCAGGTGGGCAGCTTAGGCAGGCTGTCGGGGTGTAGCCCAGGCAAGACACAGAGGAAGAGGCAGGACAGACTGAGGCGGCTGCTGCCGCCTGCCTCACAGCTTTCTCATTCCCCTCTTCCTCCTCCAGCAGCAGTGGCATGTAGTGAAAAGAGGAAGGTCTAAGCTGCACCATGCTCCCCCTGCTACCACAGCTGGTGGGGTGGAAAGAAGACCCCCCACTGCCACATAAATTGATAGGGGAAAACCTCTGGGTTGTGAATTGCAGGCTTCCTTCTCTCGGTAGTAGGGGCAATGAAGGTGAGAAGTCACTGAATGCTGGTTGTGGGGCATGCAGGGAACCTGACATATCTGTGTGGTGGCAAGACCGTCGGATTGGTCTACGCCACATGCCCGCTTTTGGTAAACAGCAGCAATCTGCAGTGTTGGAATGTAGACAGAGTTATGGAGCTTGCCCTGAACTGCCTCAGCAGCTACTACTGCATGTCAGAAGATGGCTGGTAGATTGGGTGATCTATGATCACTGCAGATGGTGACAGCAGTCACGAAATTAAAAGACGCCTGCTTCTTGGTAGAAAGGTGATGACAAACCTAGACAGCATCTTATAAAGCAGAGACATCACCTTGCCAACAAAGGTCCATATAGTTAAAGCCATGGTTTTCCCAGTAGTGATGTATGGAAGTGAGAGCTGGACCATAAAGAAGGTTGATCGCCAAAGAATTGATGCTTTTGAATTATGGTGCTGGAGGAGACTCATGAGAGTCCCATGGACTGCAAGAAGAACAAACCTATCCGTTCTGAAGGAAATCAGCCCTGAGTGCTCACTGGAAGGACAGATCGTGAAGCTGAGGCTCCAATATTTTGGCCACCTCATGAGAAGGGAAGACTCCCTGGAAAAGACCCTGATGTTGGGAAAGATGGAGGGCACAAGGAGAAGGGGACGACAGAGGACGAGATGGTTGGATAGTGTTCTTGATGCTACCAGCATGAGTTTGACCAAACTGTGGGAGGCAGTGGAAGACAGCAGTGCCTGGCGTGCTCTGGTCCAGGGGGTCACGAAGAGTCGGACACGACTAAACGACTAAACAAAACAAATGGATCTGGAATGTTGGTGAGGTGTAAAAGGAGGGGAATTTGCAAGGGGTGGCAGGTTTTGTTGACAATTCCATTCCACCTTAACAATCCAGACATGGGATTGTTACGTGTCACATGTCTGTTTACATTCCAGCACATTATGCCGGGAACTTCCGTTGTGTGTATAGCTTTTGCTTTTGTTTCTCTCTGAGACGACATGAGAGAGAGAGAACATGTTTCTTTGTCCTGATTTATGATTAATAAATCTGTAGTTATAGTATGCTTCCACAAGCCTCACGCCTGTTCTGTGTGCGCAGTTCTATCAGATGATAGTGTGCCCTGGCTTTGAAGCCCGGGTCTCTGATTTATGTCGGAGCAGAGGCGATGGTCTTCGAACCAGGAAAACCAGAAGGAGACGGTCCAGCCAGGGCTAGCCAGCTGGCCTCCCAGCCCTCTGCACACCGACAGGTTTGGCAGGGGGTAGTGGATGGGTGGGGTTGGTGAGCAATGCGAGCAGGTGCACAGTCTCAGTTACATCGTATTCCACTAAACCCATTTTTGACGTTTCCCATTACAAGCTATTGCGGGGGAAAAGGCGCTAGCAATACCTGGAAATACATTCCTCTAAAAAAAGAGGGGGCACCCGGACTTGAACCAGGGACCTCTTGATCTGCAGTCAAATGCTCTACCGCTGAGCTATACCCCCGGCACATAGGCATGTCTGCCCAGGAAGGCTTCTTATGGATACCAGTTTTGCCACATAGTTCTCTACCATGTACTTTCGACTAATGGTTTTAAACGCCCTACCTACAGGCAACTCATTCCACATCAAGCTTTCTACTGAGGAATAACCTCCCGCAAATCTCTGTCTTGCAAAGTGTTCTAGAGCAGAGTCAGCTCACACGGAGGCCGCAGCTTTAGGCCCAACAACAATCCCCCGCAAACTGATTATTACATATGAGAACACTACCTGCACTTCTTCTAGTGGCACATGGCTGGAGAAGATCAGTAAAGGCAGGTGATTTAATTTTTTTTAAACACCACTGATCTTCTTATTTCGTAGTATATAATAAAATTGTAAGGATGTCACTACGCTGCAATTTGAATGGTCACCAACAGGTGGCCCCATGAACTGCAGTGTGAGAAGAGGACAGGAAGCCGGCAGCTGAGGGAGGCAAACAAGAGTAAGCAGTGTCTCAAATTCCTCCTGTCGCTGGTGGAGTGGAGAGGAACGAAGGGGAGATAGTAACATCAAGGTCTTTTCCAGGGAGTCTTCTCTTCTCATGAGGTGGCCAAAGTATTGGAGCCGCAGCTTCACTCTTCTGTCTTAGTATATATCAAAATTGTAAGGATGTCATCAGGCTGCAGTTTGTATGGCCAACCAGCAGAGGGCCACACAAACTGTAGTGCGAAAACAAGAGCAGGTGGGCAGCTCAGGCAGGCTGTCGGGGTGTAACCCAAGCAAGACACAGAGGAAAAGGCAGGACAGGCTGCTGCCACCTGCCTCACAGCTTTGTCCATTCCCCTCTTCCTCTGCCACCAGCAGTGGCATGTAGTGAAAAGAGGAAGGTCTAAGCTGCGCCATGCTCCCCCTGCAACCACAACTGGTGGGTGGGGAGAGGACCCCCCACTGCCACAGAAATTGATAGGGGGAAACCTCTGGAGCGTGAATTGCAGGCTTCCTTCTCTCGGTAGTAGGGGCAATGAAGGTGAGATGTCACTAAATGCTGGTTGTGGGGCATGCAGGGAGCTTGAAATATCTGTGCGGTGGCAAGACCATCGGATTGGTCTATGCCACATGCCCACTTTTGGTCAACAGCAGCAATCTGTGGTGTTGGAATGTAGACAGAGTTATGGAGCTTGCCCTGAACTGCCTCAGCAGCTACTACTGGATGTCAGAAGATGGCTGGTAGATTGGGTGAACTACGGATCTGGAATGTTGGTGAGGTGTAAAAGGAGGGGAATTTACAAGGGGTGGTGGGTTTTGTTGACATTTCCATTCCACCTTAAGGAACAGACATGGGATTGTTACGTGTCACATGTCTGTTTACATTCCAGCACATTATGCCGGGAACTTCCGTTGTGTGTATAGCTTTTGCTTCTCTCTGAGACGACATGAGAGAGAGAGAGAGAGATGACATGTTTCTTTGTCCTGATTTATGATTAATAAATCTGTAGTTGTAGTATGCGTCCACAAGCCTCACACCTACACTGTGTGCGCAGTTCTATCTGCTGATAGTGTGCCCTGGCTCTGAAGCCCGGGTCGCTGATTTATATCGGAGCAGAGGCGATGGTCTTCGCACCGGGAAGACTGGAAGGAGACGGTCCACCCAGGGCTAGCCAGCTGGCCTCCTTGCCCTCTGGATGCCAACAGGTTTGGCAGGGGGTAGTGGATGGGTGGGGATGGTGAGCAATGCGAGCGGCGGCACAGTCTCAGTTACATCGTATTCCACTAAACCTATGAGGTTTCCCATTACAAGCTACTGCGGAAAACAAGGTGCTGGCAACACCTGGAAATACATTCCCCTAAATCACTGAATGCTGGTTGTGGGGCATGCAGGGAACTTGACATATCTGTGTGGTGGCAAAACCGTCAGATTGGTCTATGCCACATGCCCGCTTTTGGTCAACAGCAGCAATCTGCGGTGTTGGAAAGTAGACAGAGTAATGGAACGTGCCCTGAACTGCCTCAGCAGCTACTACGGCATGTCAGAAGATGGCTGGTAGATGGGGTGAACTATGGATATGGAATGTTGGTGAGGTGTAAAAGGAGGGGAATTTGCAAGGGGTGGTGGGTTTTGTTGAGCTTTCCATTCCGCCTTAAGGAACAGACATGGGGTTGTTACGTGTCACATGTCTGTTTACATTCTAGCACAGTATGCTGGGAACGTCCGTTGTGTGTACAGGTTTTGCTTTTGTTTCTCTCTGAGACGACATGAGAGAGACGACATGTTTCTTTGTCCTGATTTATGATTAATAAGTCTGTAGTTGTAGTATGCTTCCACAAGCCTCACGCCTACACTGTGCCGCTGCCTACTGATCAAATGCTCATGCGCCATGCAATGCGCCAAGATCCCTGCGACCTCTCCCTCTCACGAAACAGCAGTGGTCTGCAATGCTGGGAAGCTGGGAGATCAAGGCAGAACAGCTGCACTTCCTCACCAACCCCCTTAAAAAATGGGGGGGGTCACATCCGGGTTTGGAGCAATGTGCACGGTCGCGCACATTTCGGACGCACATAAAATGGTTGCAGCCTCTATTTCCTTACACCCATCTACCAGGTTACCCACCACAAACTATTGGAGAAAGTGAGGAGGTGGCAAACCAGAAACAAATTCCTCTAAAAAGAGGGGGCACCCGGACTTGAACCAGGGACCTCTTGATCTGCAGTCAAATGCTCTACCGCTGAGCTATACCCCCGGCACATAGGCATGTCTGCCCAGGAAGCCTTCTTATGGATACCAGTTTTGCCACATAGTTCTCTACCGTGTACTTTCGACAAATGATTTAAACACCCTACCTACAGGCAACTTACTCCACATCAAGCTTTCTACTGAGGAATGATCTCCCGCAAATCTCTGTCTTGCAAAGTGCTCTAGAGCAGAGTCAGCTGACACGGAGGTCGCAGCTTTAGGCCCAAAAACAATCCCCTGCAAAATGATTTATACATATGAGAACACTACCTGCACTTCTTCTAGTGGCACATGGCAGGAGAAGATCAGTAAAGGCGGGCGTATAGAAATTAGATAGATATAGATGATATAGATATAGATGATATAGATAACCACCATTGATCTTTTTTCGTAGTATATAATAACATTGTAAGGCTGTCACCACGCTGCAATTTGAATGGTCACCAACAGGTGGTCCCATGAACTGCAGTGTGAGAAAATGACAGGAAGCCGGCAGCTGAGGGAGGCAGACAAGAGTAAGCAGTGTCTCAAATTCCTCCTGTCACTGGTGGGCAGGAGAGGAACGAAGGGGAGATAGTAATTCTCCCCTTCGTCCTCCTGCCCTGCTGCTGTTGGAAGCAAGAGAAAAAAGCCTGTAATTTACTACACAGGCTTCTTTCTTTCAGCCGTGGGGGGAATGAGCATGAGACGCCACTTCCCTACACTGTGCCACTACCTACTGATCAATGCTCATGCGCCATGCAATGCGCCAGGATCCCTGCCACCTCTCCCTCTCAGGAAACAGCAGTGGCCTGCAATGGTGGGAAGCTGGGAGAGCAAGGCAGAACCAGCTGCGCTTCCTCACCAACCCCCCTTAAAAATGGGGGGTCACATCCGGGTTTGGAGCAATGTGCACGGTCGCGCACATTTCGGACGCGCATAAAATGGTTGCAGCCTCTATTTCCTTACACCCATCTACCAGGTTACCCACCACAAGCTATTGGAGAAAGTGAGGAGGTGGCAAACCAGAAACAAATTCCTCTAAAAAGAGGGGGCACCCGGACTTGAACCAGGGACCTCTTGATCTGCAGTCAAATGCTCTACCGCTGAGCTATACCCCCAGCACATAGGCATGTCTGTCCAGGAAGTGCTCTTATGGATACAGGTTTTGCCACATAGTTCTCTACCCTGTACTTTCGACTAATGGTTTTAAACGCCCAACCTACAGGCAACTCACTCCACATCAAGCTTTTCTACTGAGGAATAACCTCCCGCAAATCTCTGTCTTGCAAAGTGCTCTAGAGCAGTCAGCTCACACAGAGGTTACAGCTTTAGGCCCAAAAACAATCCCCTGCAAAATGATTATTACATATGAGAAAACTACCTGCACTTCTTCTAGTGGCACATGGCAGGAGAAGATCAGTAAAGGTGGACATATAGATAGATAGATAGATAGATAGATAGATAGATAGATATAGATAACTACCACTGATCTTTTTTCGTAGTATATAATAAAATTGTAAGGATGTCACCACGCTGCAATTTGAATGGTCACCAACAGGTGGCCCCATGAACTGCAGTGTGAAAAGAGGACAGGAAGCTGGCAGCTGAGGGAGGCAGGCAATAGTAAGCACTGTCTCAAATTCCTCCTGTCGCTGGTGGGGAGGAGAGGAACGAAGGGGAGATAGTAATTCTCCCTTTCGTCCTCCTGCCCTGCTGCTGTTGGAAGCAAGAGAAAAAAGCCTGCAATTTAATACACAGGCTTCTTTCTTTCAGCCGTGGGGGGAATGAGCATGAGACGCCACTTCCCTACACTGTGCCGCTGCCTACTGATCAAATGCTCATGCGCCATGCAATGCGCCAGGATCCCTGCCACCTCTCCCTCTCAGGAAACAGCAGTGGCCTGCAATGGTGGGAAGCTGGGAGAGCAAGGCAGAACCAGCTGCGCTTCCTCACCAACCCCCTTAAAAAATGGGGGGTCACATCCGGGTTTGGAGCAATGTGCACGGTCGCGCACATTTCGGACGCGCATAAAATGGTTGCAGCCTCTATTTCCTTACACCCATCTACCAGGTTACCCACCACAAACTATTGGAGAAAGTGAGGAGGTGGCAAACCAGAAACAAATTCCTCTAAAAAGAGGGGGCACCCGGACTTGAACCAGGGACCTCTTGATCTGCAGTCAAATGCTCTACCGCTGAGCTATACCCCCAGCACATAGGCATGTCTGTCCAGGAAGTGCTCTTATGGATACAGGTTTTGCCACATAGTTCTCTACCCTGTACTTTCGACTAATGGTTTTAAACGCCCAACCTACAGGCAACTCACTCCACATCAAGCTTTCTACTGAGGAATAACCTCCCGCAAATCTCTGTCTTGCAAAGTGCTCTAGAGCAGTCAGCTCACACAGAGGTTACAGCTTTAGGCCCAAAAACAATCCCCTGCAAAATGATTATTACATATGAGAAAACTACCTGCACTTCTTCTAGTGGCACATGGCAGGAGAAGATCAGTAAAGGTGGACATATAGATAGATAGATAGATAGATAGATAGATAGATAGATATAGATAACTACCACTGATCTTTTTTCGTGGTATATAATAAAATTGTAAGGATGTCACCACGCTGCAATTTGAATGGTCACCAACAGGTGGCCCCATGAACTGCAGTGTGAAAAGAGGACAGGAAGCTGGCAGCTGAGGGAGGCAGGCAATAGTAAGCACTGTCTCAAATTCCTCCTGTCGCTGGTGGGGAGGAGAGGAACGAAGGGGAGATAGTAATTCTCCCTTTCGTCCTCCTGCCCTGCTGCTGTTGGAAGCAAGAGAAAAAAGCCTGCAATTTAATACACAGGCTTCTTTCTTTCAGCCGTGGGGGGAATGAGCATGAGACGCCACTTCCCTACACTGTGCCGCTGCCTACTGATCAAATGCTCATGCGCCATGCAATGCGCCAAGATCCCTGCCACCTCTCCCTCTCAGGAAACAGCAGTGGTCTGCAATGCTGGGAAATCAAGGCAGAACAGCTGCGCCTCCTCACCAGCCCCTTTAAAAATGGGGGGGTCACATCCGGGTTTGGAGCAATGTGCACGGTCACACACATTTCGGACGCGCATAAAATGGTTGCAGCCTCTATTTCCTTACACCCATCTACCAGGTTACCCACCACAAGCTATTGGAGAAAGTGAGGAGGTGGCAAACCAGAAACAAATTCCTCTAAAAAGAGGGGGCACCCGGACTTGAACCAGGGACCTCTTGATCTGCAGTCAAATGCTCTACCGCTGAGCTATACCCCCGGCACATAGGCATGTCTGTCCAGGAAGTGCTCTTATGGATACAGGTTTTGCCACATAGTTCTCTACCCTGTACTTTCGACTAATGGTTTTAAATACTCTGCCTACAGGAAACACTGGCCGCATCATTTTTTCCTTCTGCAGAACAACCTGCTGCTAATTTATGGTTCTTGAGCAGAGTCAGCTCACACAGTGCACTAGGTATTTCTTTGGGCCCACCATCCCCTTGCAAACTGAGATTACGTCTGAGAAAAACAGCTTAAACATCTTGTATCTGCACATGGCGGAGGAAGATCAGTAAAGGTGAGGAAACCATATAATAAAAATGTAAGGCTGTCGTCACATTGCGGTTTGTATGGTCACTGATAGATGGCCACACTAACTGCAGTGTGACAACAGAACAGTAGGCTGGCAGCTCAGGAGCAAGGAGCAGAGAGCATGGTGATAGAGGGAATCTGATGCACCTGCCACCATGCAATGCACTGAGCTCTGAGCACCTTCCCCTTGCAGTAAGCAGCGGGAGCCTGCAATGTTGGGAAGGCAGGAGAACAGCAGAGCCCCAGCTGCCACTAAAAAGAGGGGGCACCCGGACTTGAACCAGGGACCTCTTGATCTGCAGTCAAATGCTCTACCGCTGAGCTATACCCCCGGCACATAGACATGTTTGCCCAGCAAGCGTTCTTATGGATACGGGTTTTGCCACATTGTTCTCTGCTGTGTACTTACGGCTAATGGTTTTAATTGCTCCACCTATAGGCAACTTTTGCCACATCATCATTTTTTCCCCCTGCTGAGCAACCACCTCCTGCAAATCTCTGCATTGCAAAAGGTTGTTGAGTACATAGTCAACTCATGCAGAGTCCTGGCCCAACCATCATCTGCTTGCAGGCTGAGAGGACACCTGGGAAAACTACCTACACTTCCTAATGTTGCACAAGGCAGGAGAAGATGAGTAAAGTTGGGGAAATCACCTTTCTACCATCACTGATCTTCCTGTTCTACATCAAATTTCATTAAAAGCATCTCCCATGTTACCCACCACAAGTTATTGGAGAAAGCAGGATGGTGGCAAACCAGAAACAAATTCCTCTAAAAAGAGGGGGCACCCGGACTTGAACCAGGGACCTCTTGATCTGCAGTCAAATGCTCTACCGCTGAGCTATACCCCCGGCACCTAGGCATGCCTGCCCAGCAAGCCTTCTTATGCATACTGGTTTTGCCACATAGTTCTCCTGTGTACTTATGACTAACAACTGCAAACATTATACCTAGCAGGCAACGCTTCCACATCAACCTGTGCATTGCAAAGGGTTTCTGGAGCAGCCTGGTGGCCTCCAGATGTTTAGAACGTCCAACTCTCATCAGTCCAAACAGCTGGAGGACACAGCTAGTCTATGTGTTCGGAGCCTTGAGGCTGGACTACTGTAATGTGGGGTTGCCCTTGGGCCTGACTCAAAAGCTCTGGCTGGTGCAGAATGTGGTGGTTGCTGAAGGAACATCTGACCAACAACATGTGACAGAACTGTTAAAGTGTCTGCACTGGCTGCTCATCTACTACTGAGCCAGGTTCGAGGTCCTTGGATTAATTTACAAAGCCCTGAACAACATACAGCGGAAGCTCGGGTTGCGAACATGATCCGTGCTGGATGCACGTTTGCAGCCCACACCGTTCGTAAGCCACAGCTGCACATCTGCGCACGCGCGGGTTGTGATTTGGCGCTTCTGCACATGCGCGGCCACCGAAACCAGGAAATAACCCATTCCGGTACTTACGGGATTCGGCGGTCCGTAACCCAAAAAAACGCAACCTGAAGCGTCTGTAACCCGAGGTATGACTGTACGTCCTTAATCTTTAAGTTCCAGCTCGATCCCTGAGATCATCTGCCAGAGCATCACTGGTTGTTCCCTGAGATGGCAAATCTCATTTGACAACAGGGAGGTAAAGGTAAAGGGACCCCTGACCATTAGGTCCAGTCGTGGCCGACTCTGGGGTTGAGGCGTTCATCTCGCTTTATTGGCCGAGGGAGCCGGCGTACAGCTTCCGGGTCATGTGGCCAGCATGACTAAGCCGCTTCTGGCAAACCAGAGCAGCGCACAGAAATGCCATTTACCTTCCCGCCGGAGTGGTACCTATTTATCTACTTGCACTTTGACGTGCTTTCGAACTGCTAGGTTGGCAGGAGCAGGGACTGAGCAACGGGAGCTCACCCCATCGCGGGGATTCGAACCGCCAACCTTCTGATCAGCAAGTCCTAGGCTCTGTGGTTAAACCCACAGCGCCACCCGCGTCCCCTGACAACAGGGAACTAAGCCTTTAATGTCATAGAATACTAGAACTGTAGAATTGGAAAGGACCTCCAAGGTTCATCTAGTAAAAGGTAAAAGGCAAAGGACCCGTCGACAGTTAAGTCCAGTCAAAGGCGACTATGGGGTTGTGGCGCTCTTCTCGCTTTCAGGTTGAGGGAGCCGACATTTGTCCACAGACAGCTCTCCAGGTCATGAGGCCAGCAGGACTAAAGCGCTTCTGGCACAACAGGGCACTGTGATGGAAGCCAGAGTGCACAGAAATGCCGTTTACCTTCCCGCCGGAGCGGTACCTATTTATCTCCTTGCACTGGTGTGCTTTTGAACTGCTAGGTTGGCAGGAGCTGGAACAGAGCAATGAGAGCTCACTCCATCACAGGGATTCGAACCGCCGGCTTTCTGATTGGCAAGCCCAAGAAGCTCAGTGGTTTAGACCACAGTGCCAATCCCTGCAATGCTAAACCGCTACTGGCACACATAGGACTGTGACGAGTGTCAGAGCGCACCGAAATGCTGTTTACCTTCCCACCACAGCGGTACCTATTTATCTACTTGCACTGGCATGCTTTCAAACTGCTAGGTTGGCGGGAGCTGGGACAGTGCAACGGGAGCTCACCCCGTCGCAGGGATTCGAACCGCCGACCTTCTGACCGGCAAGCCCAAGAGGCTCAGTGGTTTAGAGACCACAGCGTCACTTGCATCCCTATTCTCTATATGTAGGGGGTTATAACACCCGGATACGATTTATTCCTCCTTTCCCCCCAAAGAGGGGGTAAGAAAAGCTTGATCTGCAGTCAAATGCTCTACCATTGAGCTACCTTCTTCAACAGACAGGGAACTGAGTTATCTCTAAAAACTCTTAATTATGGATATAGGATTTGCCCAATCATATGTTTCTAGAAAGAAGTGTTACCCACCATGAGCTTTTGAGGTCATGGAAGAAGAAAGATATAGACGTAATTATATTCTGGAAATGTGGGAGATATTAAGGGGTCAAAAAAAATGGATGTACCATGCTATATTAGAACCAAAAAAACTTGTTTTGATGAATTGGAAGAGCCGCAAAAAGATTCCATTGAGCACACGGATTGATAACATGGACAGCTTAGCTACATACGAACGAATTGCATGTTGACGCAAATTAAGAATGGATAAATATGAAGAAACATGGAAGGAATATTTAAGCGATAAGGCGGATAGTGGTGGGAAGTAGGGGGAGGAGAGAGAGGTGGGGAAATATTGTTAAAAAGGTGTAGCCATAGGTATATCAGTGTATTCAAATCTGAATTGTCAAATTTGTTATTGGTGTTATTATGGTTTTTGTTGTATGTGTCTTTTGCGGTTGTTGTTTGTATTGAAAAAATGATTAAATAAATTTAGAAAGAGAGAAAGAAAGAAAGAGAGAGAGAGAGAGAGAGAGAGAGAGAGAGAGATGCAGGCATGCCTTTAAAAAGATGGAAAGCACCTGAGCTTGAATCAGGCACCTCTTACTCTGCTATTATTATTATTATTATTATTATTTACCTGCCCTTCACCCTAAGGTCCCGGAGTGGGTTACAACACTAAGAGGCACTTGGCAGGGGGTTGGACTTGATGGCCCTTGTGGTCTCTTCCAACTCTATGATTATATGATTCTAAGACACAGTGTTAAAAACAGCTTTAGACACCTCAAAATCACAAAAGTAAGATGGTTCCCAGAAATGGCCCTGCAGACACGGAACTGGTCTTCCATCAGAGACTGCCCAATTGGACCCAAATTCAATCACAGAGGCCATAATGGGGGTTGCCCATTCAGAACACATTGCACTGCTCCTCTCTCTAGTTTTGCTGCTTCCCAGACTGATTCTGAGCTTTGAATGGTTTCCCAGGACCCTGGTTCCACTTGTCATCGGATACGTGAACTTCTCGGTTGTGGCTCCCGGAATGTGCAATGGAAATGTCTGCATGGGCACCCATGGGAATTTTTGTTCTGTGTTGTGGGGGTGGAGTACAAAGTAAAACCCTTAAAAGGGGGAGCAGGCTAATTTCTCACCAACAATGAGAAGTACAGGGGAAGGCCTACAGTTCAGAGGCACAGTGTTTGATTTGCAAACAAGAGGTTACAGGTTCAAGTCTTGGCATTGCTAGGTAGAGCTGCTACCAGTTTAGTGTAGACAATACAGAGCTAGATGGACCATAATAATAATATTATAATTTTTTTATTATTTATACAGTACCTCACCTATCTGGCTGGGTTTCCCAGTGGTCTGACTCAGTATAAGGGAGTTCCTATATCCCTAACTGTGTCTGAGCATTTTGTCCCACATCCTGGGTTCTGTTGTTGTTTAGTCATTTAGTCGTGTCCGACTCTTCGTGACCCCATGGACCAGAGCACGCCAGGCACTCCTGTCTTCCACTGCCTCCCGCAGTTTGGTCAAACTCATGCTGGTAGCTTCGAGAACACTGTCCAACCATCTCGTCCTCTGTCGTCCCCTTCTCCTTGTGCCCTCCATCTTTCCCAACATCAGGGTCTTTTCCAGAGAATCTTCTCTTCTCATGAGGTGGCCAAAGTATTGGAGCCTCAGCTTCAGGATCTGTCTTTCCAGTGAGCACTCAGGGCTGATTTCCTTAAGAATGGACATGTTTGATCTTCTTGCAGTCCATGGGACTCTCAAGAGTCTCCTCCAGCACCATAATTCAAAAGCATCAATTCTTCTGCGATCTGCCTTCTTTATGGTCCAGCTCTCACTTCCATACATCACTACTGGGAAAACCATGGCTTTAACTATACGGACCTTTGTCGGCAAGGTGATGTCTCTGCTTTTTAAGATGCTGATCCTGGGTTCTACAAATTCTAATTTTTTATTTTTTATTAATGAAAGCTGGGAATGTGGGGATTATGTTTCATCTGGGGCAGGGAAATATCTGTCTCCCTCCCAACTTCACTGAAGGCTGTAAATATTTATTGATAGTATACAAGCACATATTTATTGGGTAGCCTGCTTCTGCTTTAACCTGCTGATGATCTTTGACGTCTGTTTGCTTTTACGTTGTGTTTTGATCTTATTTTGTTGAAAGCTGCCTTGTGGACATTTTGCCAAGAAAGCAGGGTAGAAATAGAGAAAGTAATATTGAAAGATGTGAGATCGCTTTCCTGAGACTTTCCCATATGTTCCTAGTAAGGAGGTTACTCCTGAATTTTATTTACTATGAACCTTTAAGGAAAGGGAAGGTGAGAAATCAAACAAAATCCCTCCTAAAAATAAAAAAGAGGGGGCACCCGGACTTGAACCAGGGACCTCTTGATCTGCAGTCAAATGCTCTACCGCTGAGCTATACCCCCAGCACACAGACATGCCTCACCTGAAGCTTAGTTATGGACACTGGTTTTGCCACATTGTTCTCTGCCATATATTTATGAGTAATTGCTTTTGAATATTCCATCTGCAGGGAATCTTCCCAGAGCAGCTTTTCTGGTAGGCAACAAACCCCTTGCATTGCAAAGGGTTTGGGAACGTATTCCAGAGCACAGCCTCTGTTGACACAGAGCATGGACCACACACACCTATGTTTGTTTGCCTTCCATCTACAAGTGGGGAACACACCCAACACTTCCTGTAGCCACAGATTATGGGCAATTATTAGTACAGTGGTACGTACGTAATTCGTTCCGGAGGTCCGTTCTTAACCTGAAACTGTTCTTAACCTGAAGCACCACTTTAGCTAATGGGGCCTCCCGCTGCCACCGCACGATTTCTGTTCTCATCCTGAAGCAAAGTTCTTAACCTGAGGTACTATTTCTGGGTTAGCGGAGTCTGTAACCTGAAGCGAATGTAACCTGAAGCGTATGTAACCCGAGGTACCACTGTAGTGGGATCTCCGGTACCAGTGTTACTGATTTTGTTAAGAAAAGAGCAAAAGTGTCAAGACCTCCAACTTCCCCCCTGAACCTGAAGAACCACAGAAATGTAGGGCTGAAAGGGACTCTAAGGGCCATCTAGTCCAACCCCCTGCAACACAGGAATATGCAGCTGCCCCATAAGGGATTGAACCTGCAACCTTGGTGTTATCGGCACCACGCTCAAACCAACTGAGCTATCCAAGGATGAAGCATCTCCCAGTAGGACGGTAGCAAAATATTTTGCTTCTTTTTGAGGGTTTTCAAAATTGTTCTTAACCCGAGGTACTAATTCTGGGTTAGCAGAGTCTGTAACCTGAAGCGTCTGGAACCTGAAGCGTCTGGAACCTGAAGCGTCTGTAACCCAAGGTACCACTGTAGTAGTAGTAATAATAATAATAATAATAATAATAATAATGGCCAGCCCTTCAGGGCTATGTGCCTTGACATGTGGGGACACAGAATTGCTGCTCCAGTTCCGACGGCAAAATATACAGTCGTACCTCGTGTTGCGTCTGCTTCATTTTGCGTCTTTTTGCGTTACGTCCCGCGGCAACCCGGAAGTACCGGAATGGTTTCCTTCTGGGTTTCGCCGCTCGCGCATGTGCAGAGGCACTATATCATGTTTCGTGCCTGTGCAAGCGCAGTCTTCGAGTTGCAGGCATCTCACATTATGGATGGGCCTCCGGAACGGTTCCCGTCCGTAACACGAGGTACCACTGTATTGGTATCGCTCAAATGTTCCGTTCAATGACAAAAATTACCTGCCAAAGTATTTCAAGATTTTACCCACAAGAGGAGGCTTTGGGGATTGGAAGAACCAAAAATGTAAAAGGTGTTTTCTCCCCCCGCCCCACATAAGGGAGCACTGGACTTGAACGAGGAATATGGGGCCTGTCCTGGCCCTTATTGCAATATTTTCCAAAGGAAAAACAATTATACATTTTAACTAACCTGAAACACTGGGGCTAGGGAAGGATAAAAAATGTGAATTCCTCCAAAAAGAGGGGGCACCCGGACTTGAACCAGGGACCTCTTGATCTGCAGTCAAATGCTCTACCGCTGAGCTATACCCCCAGCACAATTGTTCCTTCCCAAGAAGCCATCATAAGGATACAGGTTTGGTCACCCGGTCCACTTTGATCTGCTGCCAGCAACAGGTTTATTAACCGCAGGGATAGCTGTGGTTAATTGCCATCCACCCACTTGGTAATTATACTTCGTTTTACATCATGCTTAACTAGTTCGGTGTCGGGGTGAGCTCATTTCTAAACACCGTGACTCAGCCTGAAGCAGTTGTGCGACAACCCGGATTCAAGCCAGGGGTGTGTTCACACGGGCAGCTTAAATAAGAGCTCCTGCTGCAGGATTAACACGGCATGGCGAACCCGTGCTATCCGGGTGTTGCAGAACTACAACTCCCACAACACCTGACCACTGGCCATGCTGTCTTGGGCTGATGGGAGTTGGGAGTAAAACTCTGGCGGGCCAAAGGTTCCCCCTGGATGAACAGAACCCATCTGGCTAGGTTTCCCCAGTCACCCTAAAAAGCCCTCGGTCCAGTACATCTGAAGGAGTGTCTCCACCCCCATTGTTCTGCCTGGACACAGAGGTCCAGCGCCGAGGGCCTTCTGATGGTTCCCTTGCTGCGAGAAGCCAAGTTACAGGGAACCAGGCAGAGGGCCTTCTCGGTAGTGGCACCCACCCTGTGGAACGCCCTCCCACCAGATGTCCAAGAGAACAACAACTACCAAACTTTTAGAAGACATTTGAAGGCAGCCCTGTTTAGGGAAGCTTTTAATGTTTGATGCATTACTGTATTTTAATATTTTGTTGGAAGCCACCCAGAGTGGCTGGGGAAGCCCAGCCAGATGGGCAGGGTATAAATTATTATTATTATTATTATTATTATTATTATTATTATTATTACTCTGGGCGGCTTCCAACAAAGTATTAAAAATACAATAAAACATCAAACATTTAAAACTTCCCTAAAGAGGGCTGCTTTCAGATGTCTTCTAAAAGTCAGATACAGTGGTACCTCGGGTTACATACGCTTCAGGTTACATACGCTTCAGGTTACAGACTCTGCTAACCCAGAAATAGTGCCTCGGATTAAGAACTTTGCTTCAGGATGAGAACAGAAATCGTGCTCCGGCGGCGCAGCAGCAGCAGGAGGCCCCATTAGCTAAAGTGGTGCTTCAGGTTAAGAACAGTTTCAGGTTAAGAACGGACCGTCGGAACGAATTAAGTACTTAACCCGAGGTACCACTGTATTGATGCTTAATTTGCTTTTACGTTGCTGATCATGAAATCAATTTAAATAACATGTTGCATTACCTGATTTTCCTTCTGCCTCAGTCCCCTTTTGATATGCCAAATGCTAAGTTATCACAGAATAAAAATGCATTATATGCTCCTTACACTGATGGCTCATTCCTTCAAAAAATTGATGTGGCACACACTTGTTTGTTACTTTAAGGGGCTGCCTGGAATCACGCTGACACCTTCCTTGACACCTGATGGGAGGGCCTTCCACAGGGCGGGTGACACCACCAAGAAGACCCTCTGCCTGGTTCCCTGTAACCTCACTTCTCGCAGGGAGGGAATTGCCAGAAGGCCCTCACCTTGAATCTGGACCTCAGAAGTGGGTTGTGCAGGGAACATAACCTGAGCAGCCTAAAGCCAAGGCAGCTTCCCCACCGACTGCCAAAATTCCCCACCCATCTTGAGTATCCTTCCATCCCCCACCCACTGCCCCCTTCCTTACCTCAGTTGTCCTTTCCAGTCATTAAAATCCTGCTTGGGCAGCACGACAGCGGGGCTGGAGTGAACAGCCAGGGGCAGGCGGCTTTCCAGGTACGCTGACTGAACCCACCAGTCTGTGATCTGGAATGAATGGGATACAGTTAGAAGAAGAGTTTGGATTTGATATCCCGCTTTATCACTACCCTAAGGAGTCTCAAAGCGGCTAACATTCTCCTTTCCCTTCCTCCCCCACAACAAACACTCTGTGAGGTGAGTGGGGCTGAGAGACTTCAGAGAAGTGTGACTGGCCCAAGGTCACCCAGCAGCTGTATGTGGAGGAGTGGGGAATCGAACCCAGGTCACCAGATTATGAGTCCACTGCTCTTAACCACTACACCACACTGGCTCTCAGTTAGGACAAGGGAATACAACACTTCTCTCTGCCCTGATGTGTCACCCCCCCACCAGGGCTTTTTTCCTGGAAGTAGTAGCAGGAACTCAGTTCCGGCACCTCTCAGATGGGCGCCATTGAGGGAGGTGTTCGTGGTGAGTTTTCTAAACCACCAAGCCTCTTGTGTTTGCCAACGGAAGGTTGGCAGTTCGAATCCCTGCAACGGGGTGAGCTCCCGTTGCTCTGTCCCAGCTCCTGCCAACCTAGCAGTTCAAAAGCACACCAGTGCAAGTAGATAAATAGGTACCACTGTGGCAGGAAGGTAAACAGAATATTCCGTGCGCCCTGGTTTCCATCACGGTGTCCCATTGTGCCAGAAGTGGTTTAGTCATGCTGGCCACATGACCCGGAAAGCTGTCTGTGGACAAACGGTGGCTTCCTCAGCCTGAAAAGCAAGATGAGCGCCGCAACTCCATAGTCGCCTTTGACTGGACTTAACCGTCCAGGGGTCCTTTACCTTTTTCAAGAAAAATACTGGTCACCCCCATCCTCCAAGTGTCTTTCACAGCTCATTTATGGTAGGGGTAGTGTACCTTTGTCTCTCCTGATGTTGCTGAACTATAACTCCCATCCTTCTTGGACAATGGAGGTGCTTCCTGATGGGAGTTGTAGTTTAGCAACATCTGGAGGGCCAAAGATTCCCCACATCTCATCTGGTTTCTGGTTGGCATCCCTCTGTCTCAGGAGACAATGGAGGAGTGTGCCTTTTGGGGGGTGAAGTAAAACCATTGGACGATTGCAGCGCCTGCTGTGGCTGTAGAATCAGGAGAGACATGTTTTGTTGCAGCCGGGGCAGATGAAGGCGTCCGGTTTTGCTGTTACAAATGCAACATGGCATTTCTTCTCTCTGTGCTCCTCCCAGCAGCCATTCCTCCTCCGGTCAATACAGTGGCGTAGCGTGGGTTGTCAGCACCCGGGGCAATGCAAGTAATTTGCGCCCCCTAGCCCGTGGATTTTAGTAGGGGCAGAGAGCTGCGAGTGCGAGCGCCCCCCCCCCAGATGTTGCGCCCGGTGCGGCCGGCCCCCCCTGCACCCCCCACGCTACGCCACTGGGTCAATGATATGGATGCACACAGCATGGCTGTCTGTTTCCAGGTGCTGTTGTTATCTATTGTTATTATTAATTTGTGCATGAATTTTTATGTGCATAGCGCTTCACAGAGCACAACAGGGCAGGTCTCTGCCCCAGAGAGCTTACAATCTAAAATCTGGCACAGGTGAAACAGAGGAAGGGAAAGGAACAGGAGGAGGGGTTAAAGCAGGAGAAGAAAAATTGGAAGCTAGACTTTATGTTAAGTGTTGTCAGTGGCAGCTGGTGTTGGGAGGAAGGCAAGGAGCCCAATGGCAGATGAGAAGGGCGCCTTCTCAAAGCCTAGTGGGTGCTTACCCAGTTTCAGGAAGGAGGCGTCATGGCTTTGACAGGTCCCTAAAGTCCTACTTACTGGGCTATGGGAAGGAGTTTTACGGGCTCTGGGACCCTGCCACAGCCTCACGCCTCCTTCCCAAAGCCCAGCTTCAGCCAGCGCCACAAGGGCTGGCAGGAGGGCGTCAAATGGCCTTGCACAGGTGGCAGATTACCAAGGTCTGCTCCTGGGCCGTGCCCTGTCCGTCCTAACGGAGCAGCTACGGCACCAACTTTAAAACAGCCATGCCTTTCCCCAAATCATCATGGGACCTGTAATTTGTTATTTAGGGTCCTGGGAGCTGTTAGGAGACCCTGATTCTCCTCCCAGAGCTACAACCCCCTGCGTTCCCGGTGACTGTGAAACGACTCTGGAAACTGTGTTGCTGTTTAAATTTGTGTACCGGCCTATACCCGTAGATCTCCAGGCAGTTCGCAACATAAAATTACAAAATATAAACAGTGGAACCTCGGTTTTCAAACATAATCCATTCCGGAAGAGTGTTTTGACTTCCGAAACGTCCGAAAACCCGTTCAGAAAATTGAAAAACATGCAGCGGAAGCCATTCGACTTCTGAGGCGCGTTCGAAAATGGAAGCAATTACTCTCGAAAACCAAAGGCCCAGTTAAAAAGGAATAGTTTCACCAGGCACCTAAAGGTGTATAACAGGCACCCCCAAACTTGGCCCTCCAGATATTTTGGGACTACAATTCCCATCATCCCTGACCACTGGTCCTGCTAGCTAGGGATGATGGGAGTTGTGGTCCCAAAGCATCTGGAGGGCCGAGTTTGGGGATGCCTGGTATATAATGAAGCTGCAACTCTGCGAGGGGCTTAGCATCACTCAGTTCCCAGAATCCCTTGGGGGGGAGCCATGGCTGTTTAACATGGTAGCATAGCTCTTTCAATGTATGCCGCGAATTTGCCCGGAGAGCTCTGCTGGGAAGCCCCACTGCCACCGACGGCTTCTTCCTGCTTTGTGGGGTCTCTCTGCAGAGCCCCGGGTCCCCCTTCCTTACCCAGTTCTCCATGCGGTCCACCCGGCGCTGCAGTCGTGCTTGGAGCCTCTCGCCCTCTCCGCCTGGCACCCCAAACTCAGCCAGCAGCTGCTGCGTCTGCTCCAGCTCCTCTGGGCTCACCAGCGGCTCCAGGGAGCGCAGGTAGCGGGCCGTGGTCTCTGCCAGCGAGGGCAAGGGCTGGCGAGGGAGCGGGAAGGATGAGGCATGCCTGCAGTGGAGTGTCTGGAAGGGAAGAAAGGGCAGAGTCAAAAGAACAGTCACTCCCACCCAAGCAGGGTCAGAAATTCCCCAGGCGCCACAAGGAGATTTCTGGGTGTTGACGTCTCCATCTGGCTAGCCCCTTCCTACTACTACTACTACTAATAATAATAATAAAAATAAAAATAATTTATTATTTATAACCCGCCCATCTGGCTGGGTTTCCCCAGCAACTCTGGGCGGCTTCCAACAAAATATTAAAACACAGTAATGCATCAAACATTAAAAGCTTCCCTAAACAGGGCTGCCTTCAGATGTCTTCTAAAAGTCTGGTAGTTGTTGCATCCCCACAGTTCTCCGGTGGGAGGGCGTTCCACAGGGCGGGTGCCAGCACCAAGAAGGCCCTCTGCCTGGTTCCCTGTAACCTGGCTTTTCACAACGAGGGAACCACCAGAAGGCCCTTGGCACTGGGCCTCATTGTCCGGGGACAACGATGGGGGTGGAGACGCTCCTTCACGTATACTGGGCCGAGGCCATTTAGGGCTTTAAAGATCAGCACCCACACTTTGAATTGTGCTCGGAAACGAACTGGGAGTCAGTGTAGGTCTTTCAAGACCGGTGTTATGTGGTCTCGGCGGCCGCTCCCAGTCACCAGTCCAGCTGCCGCATTCTGGATTAGTTGTAGTTTCCAGGTCACCTTCAAAGGTAGCCCCACATAGAGTGCATTGCAGTAGTCCAAGCGAGAGATAACCAAGTCCAAGTGCACCACTCTGGCGAGACAGTCCGTGGGCAGGTAGGGTCTCAGTCTGCGTACCAGATGGAGCTGATAAACAGCTGCCCTAGATACAGAATTGACCTGCTCTTCCATGGACAGCTGCAAGTCCAAAATGACTCCCGAGTTGCGCACCTGATCCTTCAGGTGCACAGTTACCCCATTCAGGACCAGGGAGTCCCCCACACCCGCCCTCCCCCTGTCCCCCAAAAACAGTACTTCTCTCTTGTCAGGATCCAGCCTCAATCTGTTAGCCGCCATCCATCCATTTACTGCATTTATAGCCCACCTTTTTATCCAAGGAGTCTATGGTTCACACACCCCTTCCTCAGATAATCCCTACGACGACCCTGTGAGGTAGGTTAAGAGGCTGCAACTGACTCCAAGGTCACCCGGTGAGTTTCAGGACTGAGTGGGGATTTGAACCCTGATCTCCCAGGTTACCTAGTCTGACACTTTAACCACTACACTACACTGGCTTCCTAGAGTCCTTATGCTATGGGACAGCTATACAGTGGTACCTCGGGTTATAGAAGCTTCAGGTTACAAACTCTGCTAACCCAGAAATATTACCTCGGGTTAAGAACTTTGCTTCAGGATGAGAACAGAAATCACGTGGCAGCAGTGGGAGGCGCCATTAGCTAAAGTGGTACCTCAGGTTAAGAACAGTTTCATGTTAAGAACGGGCCTCCAGAACGAATTAAGTTCTTAACCTGAGGTACCACTGTAAATATAAAGCTGGGAAATGTAAAATGTCATGTAGAAAAGTATCTGAATTTTTTTTATTGATGCTTGAATTTGATTTTTTTTCCTGGGTTGCTTTATTTGATGTTTTGATGCGTTGTAAACCGCACTGAAATTTTTTCTTTAAAAAATAAAGTGAAAAATAGTAACAACAGCATGAATAAAAAATTTCACTGTAAAAAAAAAAAGGCACCTAGACATTACAGCGCGGTGACCGTAACCTAGGTTTAAGGTAAAGGGTAAAGGTAAAGGGACCCCTGACCATTAGGTCCAGTCGTGGCCGACTCTGGGGTTGCGGCGCTCATCTCGCTTTATTGGCCTGAGGGAGCCGGCATACAGCTTCCGGGTCATGTGGCCAGCATGACTAAGTTGCTTCTGGCGAACCAGAGCAGCGCACGGAAACACCGTTTACCTTCCCACCGGAGTGGTACCTATTTATCTACTTGCACTTTGACATGCTTTCGAACTGCTAGGTTGGCAGGAGCTGGGACAGAGCAGCAGGAGCTCACCCCGTCATGGGGATTCGAACCGCCGACCTTCTGATTGGCAAGTCCTAGGCTCTGTGGTTTAACCCACAACGCCACCCGCGGCCCTTCAGGTTTAAGGTACCATTTGGCAATTAGCTTCTGTATCTGAGTTTCTAACACTCCACTCAATAAATATCTCCAGTGGCTGCTGAGATTTCCCCAAGGGCAAATCCCCACAAACAGGTTTTAATTAAGCCGCCTTTGTGTGCTGCCGACCCAAAAAGACAAAACATGTACAAAGCCCTGCCTCTTGCCCTACCCTCAATAAGGCTCTGTCCTCAGCATCTATGCACAGCACAAACAACAATGAGTTCTATGCAGAGGAAGCCCATTTAAATTAATGGTCCTACGTCAGTCATGACCACTAATTTCAATGGGTCTACTTTGAGTTTGACCAAGTATCATACCGCTTTAATCAGCTCCCCCGCCCCTCAAATAATCCTGGGAACTGTAGTTTTGTTAAGGGCACTCAAAGGTGTCAGGATGCCTTCAAGAGAGCTACAAAGTTCCCTGGGAAGAGGGGTTGCTTGTTAAACCTCTGTGAGTTCCACCCTTTACAGTGCTACAATTCCCAGCACCCTTAACAAACTAGTTTCCAGGAATCTTTACAGGGGGGTTTTTAATGAGTAGACTGTAGATAAAACAAAAGGGGAGGGATGTGGGCACACATTCTTAGAAGTCTGGTTATAGTGAGGAATAAGAGTTCATTGAGGGAAGCGGGTGGCGCTGTGGGTTAAACCACAGAGCCTAGGACTTGCCAATCAGAAGGTCAGCAGTTCAAATCCCCACGACGGGGTGAGCTCCCGTTGCTCGGTCCCTGCTCCTGCCAACCTAGCAGTTCAAAAGCACGTCAAAGTAGATAAATAGGTACCACTCCGGCGGGAAGGTAAACGGCGTTTCTGTGCGCTGCTCTGGTTCGCCAGAAGCGGCTTAGTCATGCTGGCCACATGACCCGGAAGCTGTACGCCGGCTCCCTCGGCCAATAAAGCGAGATGAGCACCACAACCCCAGAGTCAGCCATGACTGCACCTAATGGTCAGGGGTCCCTTTACCTTTACCTTTACGAGTTCATTGCCTCTGATTGGCAGCTGCTTGGGAATGGAGGTGGGAAAAGACTGTTGTCCTCGTGTCCTGCCTGCGGTCATTCCATGGCAGTGGCATCGTCTGTCTGGCCACTGCGGCAACAGGATGTTGGGACTAGATCAGGGGCTGAGAAATTTTGCCACTCAGAGAGGGCAAATTCCAGGAGTCACTTTTCAGAAGCAAAAATGTGGCTGTTTACATTTACGGTTGTGCAGTTGGGTACATCCCAGTTATACAAAAGGCCGATGTTTCTGCATGTCCCAAAACTCTTCATCCAGGCAAGCAAAACACGGAAGGAGGGCCGGTGAGAACTCACAGCTTGGCAAAGAGACCCGAGGGCCCAAAAACGAAGCTTGGAGAACTGCCTTTCGCAACTGTGCCTGAGGTCCCCCATTCCTGAACTAGACAGGCCTAGCAGGAATCTTTGGGTGTGTACAAATCACATTTTAAAAGCACCTCCCCAAATCTTAGGAACCATCATTTTTAGAAAAGGGGTCTGGGAATTGTAGTACCGCGACTGGTAAACTGCATTTCCCAGGATCCCGGGGGCGCTGGTGGAATGTGCTTTAAATGCAAGGTGCATGCGCCGCCTTCCAACACATGAAGCCAATGGCGGAGCGGGAGGAACTGGAAAAAGAGGTGGCACCATGTTCAGAGGGGCAGAATCGCAAATGGCTTTGCTTTGGTGTTTTTTAAATAAGAGTTTTGCGGTTTTGCTCTGTCTGGCGCGGCCCCACCCGTTTGTATCCTAAGGGCCTCTCACCACCCACTGCAGTTTCTCCGGGCCTCTCCACTCTCACGGGCGCTGCGATCATCTGAAGGCTAAACTCGTGGCAACTTTCCCCTTCGTCCTCTGTGCAAGAGCCGTCCACCTTCCTCCCCTTGCAGGCAGACGCTCGCCATATGGAAGCCCCGAGGGCGCGCACGCTTTGCAAAACAAACGGCGCTTGCCAGGGGGGCGATTCCCTCTACCGCCCACTATCAAATGTGGGGAGGTTTTTTTTGGGGGGTGGGGCTGGATGCGGGGTTCTCCATTTCCCAACTCGATCCGACTCCGTGCAGAGGCTTCCTCGTGAGGAGAGAGTCGTCCTACCCACCCCCCGCCAAGCTCCCCGGGATTTCCCACCCAAGTCTGCGTTCAAAGACGATCCCCGCGCACCGCCCCTTCCCCATCTTGCAGACGCGGCTCCCTGCACGTCCGCACGCGGGCAACGTGTTTGCAAAACAACGGGCTCCGCCCACGCTCGTCGGGATCGCACGCATCTCTCTTTTTTAAAAAGCGAGGCTTTCCACTCACCGCGGATCTCAGTCCCGGGGGATTCGTGCGCCCCCAAGCCCGCCACATCAGCCTCCACCTGCCCATCGCCGGAGTCCCATGCGCCCTCCCGAACAGCTATGGGGTTCGCAGGGCTGCCTTAGGGGGCGGAGGGAGGGTTTAGGTGGGGGCGAGACAGGAGGGCTGGTTGACCCGGGTGCAAATATTTGTCATTTCCTGAAAAGGAGGGAGGAAGAAGATGGTTGGGAAATGGGGGTGGGGCTTTCTCCGCGTGCCCCCCCCCCCCCACCAAATGCATCCACGCGCTAAGGTCCTGGGATTTGCTGTGCATTTGATCTCGAGCCATAAAAACAACTGGCGTTTTTTGCTGCAAGGGGAAAATATGTTTCCGTCTACGAAGGAACGGAAAGTGTTGCAAATCTCTTCCAGCGGAGCGACGAAAGAATGTTGCAGGCGGGCCTTCAACATTGTAGCTGCAAGAGGATGCGAAATTGGCTTTGCAACCTTTTCCTGGGATACAAATCAGCGCGTCGCTGAATTAAGTTTCCAGGCTTGGGTTTATTTAGGTGCAGAATATTCAGGTTCGCCTAATTTTAATTGCACGCTGCCTTTCCGTACTTAAAACCATGCTCAAGACGGCTTACAACATGGGAAAAAGGCAAATATGATTACAACATGGCAAAAGAAGTGATAAACAATAAATAAAACATCAAAAAAATATGCAACCGAGTTGTGCAATTCCCACATAAATTGTAAGACCTAAAATAAAGATACAAAAAGTTAATGTCAAAAACAGCAACAGCCCCATCCCCAACAAAAAAACCCCAGCCCAAGAATCTGTTCAGCAGCCTCGGCTTTTGCAGCTGGAGTCAGTCCAGGCCCCACCCTCACCGTTGTGTGAACCTCCCTGACCTCTGGGTATAGGGCAGTATATAAATTAACTAAATAAAAACTGATCTCTCCTCCAGATCAAGCTGCTATATGAAGGCATAGCCAGAAGGACCCATTGAAAGGCTCAGATCTTGCCCTTAAACTGATTTTGGAGAAGCTGAGTCAGAGGAACATTTTTTATTTTTTATTTTGTTCCTGTGTCTGGCAGTATAAGGATATACTGCCTCAATTTTCCAGAGGCTGTAGATGACTAAACTTTAAATCATCCTTAATTTTTCAGAGGCAAAATGTGGCTTGGTGGAATGGGACGGGGGGACGGGACAGCAGCTAAGGTTGTGTGTGTGTATACACAGTGGTACCTTGGTAGCCAAACGTCTTGGCTCCTGAACAAATCAGCTCCTGAATGCCACAAACCCGGAAGTGAGTGTTCCGGTTTGTGAATGTTTTTCAGAAGCTGAACGTCCGACACGGCTTCCAATTGGCTGCAGGAAGCTCCTGCAGCCAATCGGAAGCCGCACCTTGGTTTTCGAACCATTTCAGGATTCGAACGGACTCCCAGAATGGATTAAGTTTGAGAACCAAGGTACCACTGTATGTATATATATGGCAAGATCTGAGCTTTCCAACGGGTCCTTGTGGCCATGCCTCAAGCTGCTGCCCTGCAAATGCAAGTAGGAAAAACACATCTCTGCCTGCTTCTTGGGAGAAAAGCAATGACAAACCTAGACAGCATCTGAAAAAGCAGAGACATCACCTTGCCAACAAAGGTCCATGTAGTTAAACCTATGGTTTTCCCAGTAGTGATGTATGGAAGTGAGAGCTGGACCATAAAGAAGGCTGATCGCCAAAGAATGGATGCTTTGGAATTATGGTGCTGGAGGAGACTCTTGAGAGTCCCATGGGCTGCAAGAAGATCAAACCTCTCCATTCTGAAGGAAATCAGCCCTGAGTGCTCACTGGAAGGACAGATCCTGAAGCTGAGGCTCCAATACTTTGGCCACCTCATGAGAAGGGAAGACTCCCTGGAAAAGACCCTGATGTTGGGAAAGATGGAGGGCACTAGGAGAAGGGGATGACAGAGGACGAGATGGTTGGACAGTGTTCTTGAAGCTATCAGCATGAGTTTGACCAAACTGCAGGAGGCAGTGGAAGCCTGGCGTGCTCTGCTTCATGGGGTCACAAAGAGTCGGACACGACTAAATGACTAAACAACAACAACAACAACTAATTACTTGTATGCAGAAGTTCCAGGTTCAATCCCCAGTATCTCCAGCTGGCGAGATTTGGAGAGAACCTTGCCTGAAACCCTGGAGAGATGCTGCCAGTCAGTGTGGACAAAGCTAAGGTACATGAACTGATGCTACTTCTGATGTTCCTTTTAAAAAAAGTACCATTAAAAAAACTGAAGAGTTGCAATTCTGCTTGAGGCAGGGAAATGTGTTAGTAAATGTTCACAAGCAACAGAGAGGGATGATAAAAAAAAAATCCATCTTGCCTGCAGTCTGGGAGAAGATCTAGGCCGTACACCTTTATAAGAGACAATGCGGTTAGAACAATTACAGGGCAATGCTACGCACGCCTGCTCAGAAGAAAAATCCATGTTAAGTGTTCATAACAATATTGCAGTCTCCAGATGCCAGCCCTTCATGCATTCACATGGCAGCAAGCCCAGTTTGACACAATAAGAATCATATCCAAGTAAACATTCAGTCTGTAAGAGGGACCGCTGTCTGATGTTTTCTGTTCAAACCGTGGGCCAATCATGGACTGTTATTATGATGATTATTTTACTATTAGACTGTCTATCATTATGGATTTAATTACGGTTTTCTCATTGATGTTCTGTAATGTGTTTTTAATGCCGTACACTGCCCTGGAGTCTTCTGATAAGGGATGGTATATAAACTGAAAAAGAAATAGTAACAACAACAATAATAACAGAGCTCACAAGCCAAGTCACTGCACCAGTCTGGGGGCTGAATGTGCCCCCCCAGGCCTATCTGACCCCTTACTGCCATGCGGGTGGTTATGTGGTCTAAACCACTGAGCCTCTTGGGCTTGCCGATCAGAAGGTCAGTGCTTCGAATCCCTGCAATGGTTGTTGTTCTGTCCCAGCTCCTGCCAACCCAGCAGTTTGAGAGCACACCAGCGCAAGTAGATAAATAGGTACTGCTTGGAAGACACAAGATTTACCCACCCGGGAAGAATGGCAGATGAAGTTGATGGACTATATGGAATTGGCAGAAATGACTCGAAGAATCCGAGACCAGGGAGAAGAGTCGGTGGAAGAAGACTGGAAAAAATTTAAAGACTATTTACAGAAATACTGTAAAATTAATGAATGTTAGAAAAATGTTGGAATGAAGTTATATGGCTTTAGTAGAAATGTTATAAGGAATTAAGTATAAATAGATTAATAGAGAATTAAAGGGAAAATAAGGTTAGAATGTGTTAAGATAATTATAGGATAGAAAACAGAGGAAGATGGAAAGGAATTGCTGAAACAATTAACAGAAGTGGAATACAAAAAGGGAGGTGTGAGGAGGTCACTGAAATAAGGGAATGAAAGATAAGATATTGAAACTGTTTGATGTGTTTTAAATTGTTTTTGTTTTGTTTTGTTAGTTTAATGTGTTAGTGTTATGTATTGTTTTTGTATTGTATTGTATTGTTTATTCTTTTTTTGTAATGTTTAAACTGTTGGAAAAGTAATAAATATTATTTTTTTAAAAAAAGATAAATAGGTACTTGTCAGGGAACTGCCATCGGAAGGAAGGGAGGTGAAAGGACTCAGACAGGTTGGAAGAGATTCAGCAGCTGAAGAGGGAACCAGCAAGGGGAGAGAAGCTGAACTGAGGGAGGTGAAAGGGCTCAGACAGGTTGGAAGAGACTCAGCAGCGGAAGAGGAACCAGCAGGGGGAGAAGCTGAACTGAGGAAAGGGAGCTGGGGGATGGCTCAGAGATACTTCCAGCGAAAACAGTGGTGAGGTTTCCGGACCTCCTGTAGCGACACCCACTCCTCGCCGGAAACTGTCACGCAGAGAGTCCAGAAGACGTGTTTCCGTTAAGGAGCTTTTATGTTGGAAGCGATTACGAAAGCAACCACTGTCGGAATCTTCTAGTGACTAGAGGAGCCATGTCAGAGGGCTCAGTCACAGACAGAGGTTTGTGGACTTGAACAAACTCTGAGGGAATACGATTTTACGCACAAGCAGCTCATAATCCCATCACAGCATTCCGACAGTCTTTGACGCAGCTTGTGCAGGAGAAGGCATAATGAGCAACCCAGCAGGAACCGGAGAAGCAGGGGCTGGAGCGGGTCCAAGCCTGGAAGAAAGGTACCGGGTGTTGGAGGTCCAGCTGGCGCTGCAGACGGCGAGGCTGGAGGAGAGGAGGGCTCAAGATGCAGACAAGGGAGAAAGCCACCCAGCTCGCCAGAAAGGTACCAGGATTGGTGCAGAAATTTGGGGAGGAGCCCAAAGACTATCATAGCTTTCGGACAGAAATGCAATATGCCCTCAATCTGCAGTTTGATGATTTCCCTGATGAGGAATCACGAGTGGCTTTTGTGATTGGGCATCTTGAAAAGGGGCGAGAGACTGGGTGAGACCCCTGATGGCAGCGCATAGTGACGTCCTAAAGGACACGATGAAGTTCTTTCGCGCCATGGATCTGATGTTTTCCAGCGATATTGAAAAGGGAGTGGTGCGCAGACAGTTAATGGCTTGCAAACAGGGAGCCGATCTGTACGTGAGTACTGGACTGAGTTCACCATGCTGATACACAGATTGGGGTGGGACTTATCGGCGGAACCCATTCAAATGCTCTTTGAAGAAGGGCTTTCTTCGGCTGTGAAAGATGAACTTTCCCGGGCGCCCAGGGCGGAGTCTATGGACCAGCTGACCAAATCAGCGCTGGCCAGAGGAGCGCGCCAGGAGGCGAGAGCATTGGAGAGCGGGAAGGGAAGGGAACGTTGGAAGGAGTTCCGCATTCCAGACATTCCAGAGCCAACTGTCCCGCCGGCAGAGCCGATGGAAATCGGAACAGCGCGCGCGCGCAGTTTCAAAGCCCAGTGAGGGAAAGAAGGATGGAAAAGGCGCCCGGAAATGCTATCTCTGCCAACAGCCAGGGCACTTTGCCAGAGTCTGCCCCCAGAGGAAGGAATGGCAAGGGATGGTGGGAGCTGTGGAGGGAAGAGAGGAAAAAATACCGGAGCAACTAAAAGCCAACGCCTGGCTGCCATTGTCGGGGCACAGCAGCCAGGCCAAGAGCAGTGAAAGTGCCCACTCCAGAACCTCCTAAACCCGCCCTAGTGATAGAAGTGACACTAGAGCTGCCAAACGGACACCCTCTAAAGATAAAGGCGCTGTTGGACTCAGGCAG